CGTTACGGTCAATGCCAATCAACGACGGGTTCTACTGTTGTCATTCACTTAATTAAGTTAAATACTCATTATACCCTTATCCATACCAATGATTGTTTCTCTTTCTTTTCGTTTTCTCTCTCATCTTTCTGCCTCCTACCAACTCAGGCCATGTCTTGGGTTGATGATGGAATTTGGATAACTCCTTGTCATTTGGGAGATGATGTTTACTGTCAATGCCTGATGATATGAAGGTGGAAGATTGGAATTGAGGTGGCCATGTCTTGAATTTGCAGGATTTGCATAAAGAATAAGGCAATTGGAATATTGGGGTTTGAGAGAGAGATAGAATCATTACGGCAACCGAACACTCTGCTCGTCGCCCCCTTCCTTTCTCTCTTTACCCTATTATCTCTATATATTACTATATACACACAGCAATCCACCCACCACCGCCGTCTATTCACACACTCTCCTTTATCCACCACCACCATTACCGTCACCAAAACCCACCACCATCAACAAGCCCAACAACGTTCGCAAAAGCTAACTTAAGAATTGCAAGTATAATCCATTAATGGCCTTTCTCCTCTCAATATGGCGGTGGTTTACCGGAATTTATGTGATACCCCTCAGATCCGAAACACGGGTTGATCAGGCCCAAGCCCGTACCTGAGAGATATCAAACAATTAATATGTTAAAACGAACACGGAATACAAATTGAAATAAGAAATATAAAATATAAGTTTAAGCTGGAAGAAACTAAAAGTAAAATCCTTTATAATTAAATACTTAGAATATGATAATCCAAAACTCCATCAGTTTAACAACTCGGGAATCCATTTATAGTGGACCCCTAATAAAAATCCAAAACTGAATGAAAGTAAAAATTGAAGATAAAATCCAAATCTAATATCTGGAAAGAAGTCCTACGTCGTCGGTAGAATAGAAGATCGTCTCTGCTCAGCACGAACAAGCTCTAGACTGGAAATGTCCGATACCTGAAAAATGATGAGTGGGTTAGGCCCACATGCAAGTTCTATATTACTACTACCCAAGTAGAGACCCGATACGCAAGTACATCCTAACCAATCCAACAATAGCTAATAGTCCGTAGATAAATATATATATAATCACACTACAGGACTCCCACTGGACTACAGGGCCGTCTCAACCTGACTAGTAGGCACCATGCGAAAACGCACCCAAAGGTGGGCATGACTACCTAGTCCTAGCAGGGTACACATCCAACCATTATAGCCAGCTATGCATCCCAATGCATATACGCTCCCTAACCAACGACTCTGAGACTTAGGCTCATATCGTGGCACCATAAAAATATATTTAAATTCTATTCCAAACCAAAGTGTCACTCAATTATTTATTGATCTGACACAGAAGACAAGTAGGACTTAACTTTTGTAGTTAATCCATCCTTTATTCCAGAGTAGGTAGGGCTTAGCATTTTTAAGCTAATCCCCCTAGTATGTCATCGTCCCATACCGGTGCATACAAAACATCCATCCAGAATTGATAATATATATATGACAGCATAACATATCAATATCAACATATCCAATCATAAGTATAACAAGAATGTTTAACTAGTATGCTTGTTCAATACATCCAGTACCTAATTCTCTAACAAATTTTAAATGCAGAGAATAAATATAACCATCCTGTAACTCACAATAAGCATAATAATAATATTAACAGTATCTACATGCTTACTTGTAATTACTCCACAACATCCCATAAGTTGACATAAACAATTTTTGGTAACCATCAACTAGTTCCTTATTAAGTATTAACTGAATTTATATTAGTTAATAGGCTTAATCCCATACCCCTGTTATATGATTTACATATCAAACTCCTAATTCAATTGCTAAATTAAAATTAAACAACTTGAATCATCTGCACAAAGCAACCATGTAAACTTTCTTAAAAGTTTCATAATGTCCCTTCTACTAACCTTCTATGGTATAATATGTATTTTCATGCCTTCTGAAGTTTTAGTAGGAATTTAAACATCATTGAGAACCTCTAATTAAACTCTCAGTTGCCCCTGGAAACCCATTAATCCAAGCACAGTAGCTAGTAGTCTCATAGAAAACCAAAAAAAATGAAAACCCTCGAAGGAGCAGGCTCCACCCAAAGTGGAGCCGCCTCCATCACAAAGTAGAGCCGGCTCTACTACAGAGTAGAGCCCGCTCCATCTTTTAATTGAGCCTGCTCTACTTGAAATAGAGCAGGCTCCTTCCTCTGTGCGTCGTTTTTCTAATTCTGGCGGTGTCCGGCTGTGTTGATCCTCCAAACCAAATTTCTTGCTGATTAAAACTAAGTCCTTGGGTGTTCAAAAGTTAATTAACTTCCTTGATTAATAATCACATTCAGTGGGAACAAGAATTAAACAAAATAGTTTAAAAACGATTAACATGCACCTAAAAGAAAACATGCTGTTCAACTTCTTCTCCAACTCCGGCAACTTTGTTCCTCCAACCCAAGTTTCTTGTTGATTTAAAACTAAGTCCTAGGGTATTCCGGAGTAATTTAAATTCATCATTCATTAATTAATTCAATTGGAACAAGAGTTACACAAAACAGAATAAAACATGCAAAATACTTAATCGGAAACATAACCTGTTTTGAATAAATTCCATGCAACCAAGCAGTTTAATTTAGTTTTTACCCATCCTGAGATTGTGTTAGAGATGCAAAGAACATAGGCCAAAGAGATAGAGCTAGTATAAAACTTGCCTTACACCGACGTTGTTCAACAATTTCCGGCCAACTCTCTGTTTCTTCCCTTTGTTGTTTCCCAAATTTCTCCCAGACTCCTCTAAACTTCTCTATATTTTCTTTATGTTGTGACTAGGGTTTTTGATCTCTAAACCCTAAGTAGTCGTCTAATACTATATTTATAGGCTTAAGTAAAAAAAACCTAAACCCTAATTCTAATTGAAAGAGAATTATACAACCGACAATATAACAATCCTATACTACGTCGACTACAACAATGACGCTAAAACAAAACCCTAATTAATCCTACTAACATAAAAACGCATTTACTTAATTAAATTATTTAATAATTAATTCTATTTAAAGAAAACAATTTCATCAAATAATTAAAACCCAATCAATAAACAATTAAAGAATTAAATAGAATAAATAATTTACAACACTTAAACAAGTCACAAAATTCAAATAATTAATTAAATCCAATGAAATAATTAAACCAACAAATTCACAACTAAACACATAAAACACAATTTAAATAATTAAATAAATTCCAGAATTATCCTTGTTAAATTAGGGGTATTACAATTTATTACCAGAGAATATATGTATATATGTTCTTGTTCCAGGTTCATAATTAATTTTGTGGATCCCTTCAATATTTAGTGTATACCTAAATTGAATTGTACACAAAGTATTTGGAGTTCACGGGTTGGACTAATGATACCCGGCGAATATATGTCTACATGTTCTTATTATGGGTTTAGATTTAATTTTGTGGATCTATTGAATATTTTGGTATATGTCCAAATTGATGGTGGTAGTTCACCGATGGGCGGTGGTCGAGGTGTGGCGACGACGACTTTGAAGATGGAGAATTTGAGAGGAAAAAGATTGAGCCACATATGCATTTCCACACACACACACACATATATCTAAAATAATATGGGTAGTTCAGTCATTTATTATAGGGCAAAGTATAGAAAACCCCCATCGATTTATAGCGTTTTCCAGTAAATCTCTCTCATCTAATTTTTACCAAAGAACCTCTTCGACTTGTAGCCCTTTTCAATAAATCCCCCTATCTAATTTTTTTACCAAAGAACTCCCATCAACTATCCAAAGGAGTAAAAATAGTTGATATTTTGACCAAAATGCCCTTTTATTTAAATTTTAATTTTTTCGAATTTCAAAAATTAATATCTCACAAACTGTACATCCAAATATTGCAAATAATATATAAACAGAAAGCTTATAAAAGAAGGATTCCAGAAATATAAGATTTGTTTAACAAAATTTTATAACCAGAGAGAAATAAATAATCTAAAAATTTATTGCAACAATTTTATTTTATTTTTTATAAAATACTCAGGTTATTTGCAATAAGATTTTCAAAATTATTCATTTTCATGTGGAGCATAACATATAAAAAAAATTAGCCTCAATAGAGACCGAATATACAATTTTTTTGGTGAGTCTATAAAAGAATAAAAATACTTTGATACAAAATATGATATCTCATGAAATCGATCTCTATTGGGGCTAATTTTTTTTTATATATTTGGCTCCATATGTAAATGAATAATTCTGAAAATTTTCTTGCAAATATCTCGAGTATTTTATTTATATATATATTTTAAATAAGATTGTTGGAGTAGATTTTAGATTGCCTATTTATATTTGATTATGAAGGTTTATTATACAAATCTTATATTTTTGGAATCCTTATTTCATAAGCTTTCTATGCAAATATTCTTTATAATTTTTAAATGTATAGTTTGTGAGATATGAATTTTTGAAATTCGGAAGAATTAAGATTTAAATAAAAGGGCATTTTGATCCAAATATCAACTTTTTTTACCCCTTTCAGATAGTTGAGGGGGGTTATTTGGTAAAAAATTAGACAAGGAGATTTATTAGAAAAATGTTATAAATCGAGAGAGGTTCTTTGAAAAAAAATAAACAAGGAGGTTTACTAAAAAATGTTACAAGTCAAGAAGAGGAGTTTTTTATATTTTACCCTTTATTATAATAACTTGAGTGCATTTTAGTAAATTAAATATGTACGTTAGTCCATTTGACCGTCCGTCGCTAGGACAGAAGGTCCGTATAAATTAGTTTTATTTTGAGAAGAAATCCTTATAAATTCCTAAATGAAAGAGAAGATCCTTGTAATTTTGGCAAATCACAGAAAATATGTTTAAATTACTTCATTTGAAGGAAAATAACATCACATGTGGCGTCATGTTACGATAAGAAGGGATAGACATAACCCGAAAAACAAACAGAGTCTCGAGGCTATCGTCTGGACGGGACGGTGGATATCCATCCCAAAAAACAGAGTTGCAGTGCGTCATCGTGTGCCCACTCATCTATTGCATTCATACATACTCCTGAAAACCTTCAATTTAATTCAATTCAAGAAGAAAAAACCGTAACAGAAAACCAAAGTTTCTCAAAGATAGCAATTTTTTTTTTGTGTGTGTGAAGCATATGCAATCAAAATCGAATTGAACCGAAGAAGAGCGAGAGAGTTACGAATCGAGAGGAGAGAGAATAGCAAAAAATGGCGATGCGAGACCTTGTATCGGGAGGTGCGGCTTGCGCCGTTCCTGGCTCTTCTTCTTCCTCGAATCCTCTCGGTGCTCTCGCAAACGCCCTTATTGGCTCTTCTTCTAAACCTCAGGTGCCTTCCTTTCCTTATACCATCTCTCTCCACACACACAAACACACTGCACATGTATATATCTGTTCGTAAACTGAAAATTGTTTGGAAACTAATTCAAGAAACGTATTGATAGATGCCCCTTCTAACTTTAGTTGTAGTGATTTATTAGAATTCCAGTGGGTTGAGCCCTAATTCGACCTCCTGTCACCACTTGCAGGTTTTGGGGTTTTTCTTTTTATCCTAATATAGACACACACACGAACACATATATATTCACCGCCTGTTGTTGAAATCTGGTGAAGTTTTGAACACTCCTATTAACTTGCATGCCCCAATTATGAACTTTATATTGATTCTCAACGAATTAGACATTAATCTGTGTGGATTAGCTTAGATACTGTTTGCTAGCACATTTTAATTTCTTAGTTATCTATTTGGTTAACTAAGAAAAAAAAAGGGAGTAGCAAAGTGTTTGTTTCTTTCACACTTGAGAATTACTTTAGAAAAACAAATGAAAAGGAGGAGGAAAAACAAATGCTCATTACATGTGGGTTGGCCGGCATTTTAGAAATAGTTAATTTTCTTGTGGAGCAAAAACCAAAGCAAATTATATGCTCTCAAATGCAGATAAACTGAAAATGGGTTTTGAAATGACATCTAGAAAGGTGCTTTTCTCCCAATTACATATTACAACTACCAATCGCAGCGGAAAGATATGCATTTGATTGTTAGAAGATGTTGTTTATGGCAAATTATTATTAGGCTGATTTTAAAATTTATCATTCCATACCTTTCTTGCATTTGTATATCTTAAACATCAGCAAAACTAAAAGATGCACTTCAGTACAGCATCACCTTTGGGGAGTATGAAAGTCGTGACCATGCACATGTATTTTATAGTACAAGGCATTTTTTCATAATGTAGCAGGATTTTCTTCTTTGGTCTACTGGCAGTTGCTGAAGACATAGTTATCATTCATATGACATATTGATTGACCAAGCAGGAAAGGCTGCCGGAGATTCCTACTGCAACAACCACAACTTCTGATGGCAATTTTTACTCGGGGACTGATGTGACAGCACTCCCAGGTTCAGAGTTAGATATTCCATTACAGCCCAATGCCCAGGTTTGATCTTATTCTTCTCCAAATTTTGTTTCTGTATTGTGCAAGATTACTGTTGCCAATATACATTTATGTCAGGGATCAGAATTCTTTCGGGGATTCCACTCTGCAGATCAGAGTAGATATGCAGATGTTTGGGATGAGATACAGAATCCACTAGGTCCTCATTCTCAGGGAAGAGACAGTCTAACCAACTTTCCAGTGTTTGAGCACACACAAGGAGTTAATACTCAGCTTCAACCGAATTTGGATGGTAACATTGAAACCTCTCTATTCCTGTGCAAATTTTGGATTTGAATGTTAGAGTTCATCTTCCTTTTTCACACTAAAGTGTTATCCAATTATATTGCTTGTTAGCAAGACAGGAATATTAGTAGGATTTTTATTATGTTTCTGACTATAAAGTCTCATGCTTGACATTCCATATGAATGATTTTCTTTTTCCTTTTTTCCCTCCTTTCTGAGGAACTTGACAGTCAGGTTTTGCCAAATTAGACTGTTTTCATACTTAATATACACTTAAAACGACTAATTTTCTATTTATAGAAAAAGAGAACGGTTTTGAATCAAAATTAACATTTGGATTCTTTTGGTATTTTTAATTATTCAAGAAAAATAATCGAAATTACTCTTTCTTCTGGGTTACTGCAAAAAGTTTGCCTTGGAACGGAAAAAGTTGAAAGTAATATCAAGAGTTATTGTGTTCATAAAAAAAAAAAAAAAAAACCTAAAAATAGATCCAAATGCAACCTTATGTTATTGGATTCAAATTATTGGTAAAGGCTTTTAATTTATTTTCATTTCTCTAATATGAGCATATCCATAATATGTGTGCAACATGTTAAAAAATCTATGCTTAGATGAGTTATATTTGTTTTATTCCTTGTCATTTGTTTTCTCCTTTGGGCATATAGCCCATAACGGAGCAGTTTTAATCAAGAATAGGAATATAGTGTGTACTTGGTGGCTTGGTCATCGAAATTTTACGCAAGGTGAAAAGAGATTGGCCATGTAAATGTGCTTTTAAGCTACTTCATTAAAAAAAAAAGAAAAAAAGAAAAAAGAAATAAAAAAAATGAAAATGACATCCCAGTTTAATTTAGTTGGGAAACAACAAAAGAAGCTAGTTATTAGCAAGCAAATAGAGTTTTCAAACTCGCGTTAGAGTTTCAGGCCTAATTGTTACTTCATGAAAGGCAGGCGTTACTGGCTGAAAGTTGTGCTTGTTCATAATAAATGGTCTGGACACTTGATATTTGGTTATTGACAATGGATCATAGATGTGTACAACTTTGAAACCCCTTTTATGAGTTTAAATTTATTATTATTACTTTTTAACTCCTTCCTGTATTGCAGGGCCACCACAAAGAGTGCTGTCAAGTTTTTTGCATTCATTTGTTAACAGTAGCCGTGGTGGTATTCCTTTTCATCCTACTTCACTTCCAGTATTAGGATTATCTGAAGGTGACAAGCAATGCATACGCGATCGCAGCAGTATCATGGCTCGACACTTTTTTGCTGATAAGAACGAAGATTTTATTAATTCACAGGTCTTATGCTCATGCTTAATCTAAAAGCTGCATGTGATTTTCTGCATCTGGAAGCTGTTGAATTTTCAATATCCCTTTTTTTTTTTGGGTAATAGTACTTGCAATTCTCAAGCTTCTAGTTGGGACTTGCAAACCCCAAGCTCATATAATTCTCTCTCTACCCATAAATCCCTTCTAACCCCGTCTCCCTCTTCACTTAATGAGCGAGCTGGAGTTTGACAGCTTGTGGTATGGATTCTGATCTTATTTACCCATTCTATGTTTCATGTGGGGTACTTTGACCAGACTTGTAAAATTGTATCAAATTGCTGCATTTTTTTGGGTAGTTTGACTGGCTCTGTTGTTTGATCTGTATTTGTGACCTTATCTGGTTGTTTTACATTCTAGGTAAATGCATTGTTATGTTCCTTAGATATTGATAATGATATTCGGGCTAAGGGGCCTCTGCCTGGGAGATTCCGTGAGATGGAAGAGTACTGGAACGAGTCCCAAGGCATGCTTAAACCGGCTCATCCTACAGATGGATGGGTTGCTGAATATACACAAGCCAGAGTGGAACATGGTAACCCTAATTCTTGGGCCCAGTCGTTTGAACAGCAATACGGCGTTAATGGTTGGGCTTCTGAATTTGAGCATGTAAGTAATTAGTTGTACAATTTGCATGGCTGGAAGCCCGAAACCATCTTGCTTAACATAAATTTCTACTTCAATTTTGTTGTTTAACTCACTTGGCAATTAATGGTACTTGTTTTGTTTGTACAGGAACAATCTCAGTTGACATCGGTAGATAGAATGAGAGGTGCAAATATTTCAAACTTAGCTGCTATGGAGCAGACTCGTATGCTGGCGCACACATTATCTCAAAATGATGACCCCAAATTCCAGGTTTTATGCTCTATCATTATGTTGGTTCTTCATAAATTAATCACATGGTGTGCATATACATAATATTCTCTGATTCTTGTGTGGTGGATATTGGAAAATGACATAAAAGTCTTTCAGAATCATAGCTGTTTTGTTGAAGAACACATATTCATTTATGTACCCGTAACTGGCTGAACTTAATTTATGGAGGGTGTTTCCCTCATAATCAGCCTGCTGGCATCTGTAGTAAGTTATGGGAGTATTTGTGATTCTTAAAGGTTCAATCATTCATCTTCTTCAGAACTAGCACTTGATTTTGATTTTTTTTATTGCACGTTTAGGTAGCCCATCTTCTGGTCAGTCCGTTTAAAAATTTATAGGTATGTTGATCGTTTAGTTGTTGACGTAGGCAATAAATATGACGAGATCTATGATTGAAGATGATCATTAATCCTATTGTGAGACCATCAGAGATCTATCTCTCTCTCTCTTTCTCTATATGTATATATACTGGTTAATAGAAAACCATTGGAAACTAGATGGACAACCTGTTGAATAACATTTGATCAAGATGTAACTACTTATGCAGTCAAATCCAAATAAATGCACGTTGTAACATAACGGTCAAACATATAAAATAATCCTATGCATCATGGACTTCTTCATTGTTTATATATTAATGTTCTATTGTCTATTTGATTTTGACTGTTTTGTTAAAAATTCATCACATTTTTTGGGGCATGCAGAATTCAAAATTCCTCCAGTTTGTGTCTAAGATGAGTCGTGGCGAAGTTATTATCGAGGATAATCAAGTCAAACCAGCTGCATTACCTGCAGTTGGGGATTGGGCATCAGAATATCAACAACAGTTTGATGGAGGTCATACATGGGCCGACCAGTTTGTGCATAATGAGGTAAGTAAGCTTGGTGTACTTATTTAGTTCTTTTGACAAGTTATTGACTTCTTGTTGTTAATTACAAAGTTCAGTGATACTGCTTTCTCACTTAATGCCAAAACATACATCTTGGTACAAAGCCATGTTTTTTTAGTAATAAGGTTGCCAATCCTCATGATTGACGAGTGCATCTATCCCTATTCTACGGGATAATTTTTGGTGTTAGAATTCAGGGCACGTTTTATGGCAAGAGTTAGGAGCAATTTCATGTTCTTGTTTGGGTCTTTGAGTAGCATGCAATTAAGAAAGCTTGAGTTTTGGTTTCCTTTTTACTCTCTCTGGAGCGCTTTAGCTGGGTATCTCTTTCATTGGTTTTAGAAAAAATCAATTCACTTGTAATCTCTCTTAAAAATTTGTTCTTTGTCTTTTCCAGTGGATGTGGTCCTATTGGTGGTTGAATCATGTTGATTCCTTATGTTTATGTTTTTTCTTTTGCCTTAACATTTACATATTCTTAATTTGCCAATAAAACCAGAATAGGATATAAGCTTCCGTGAGAGCAGCGGTATCCTTGTCTATTAGGACAGAGGGTGGGGGATCTGCATTGGTTTTGATGAGAGCTATTGTTCTTTTATGCATCCGATGTAATGTGATCCTCTTAGCATCAGGAAATGTTGTGCATTGATCTAGGTCCATTAGTTGTGTATTATTTTTCTAAAAAATTACTAAGAAATATATATTGCTAGCTGTAAGAGATACAATCAGATTGAAAAGATTTATGAGTTTGTTAATCAGCCATGTAGCTTTATTAATCTAGGTCCATTTACATTGTATACTTCAATTATTCTGGTTGAATATTTGAACTGAACTGTTGCTCTCTCTGTTAACATCCGAAGGACATGGACAAGAAACAAATTTTGATTATATTAATCTGTACTATTACTGTTAATGAGTTTGCTTTTGACAAATTGCACCGTTGTAGTTTTTGCTTTTAAATTAATCAGTGTTATGGTCAGTTCTGCGGCTTCTGCCTCCAGTGGCAAATATTTGCTGCCTAAATTCATTGTGGTTTTCAGCTTTCTCATGGACCTGATAGGTGGGTGAATGAGTTCGCTGCTGAACGTGAGCAACATGGATCAGTTGATGATCAGTGGGTCAATGAATTTTCCAAGTTGCATGTTCAGGGCTGGGTAGAAGAGTTTGGGCAGCAGGTTGGTGAAGGGGCATTGGGGGATAGTTCTGCTGACAACTGGGCAAATGCATATGATGAGTAAGTCCAGCGACTCTAAAACTGGGACAAAGGGATTTAGTTTAGTATTTTTCACATTATCAATCCCTTAGATGTTCCCACATACACTTTTATTCCCTTTTAAAACAAGCAGCATGCTCCACAGGTTGAGTGATTACATCGCACAAATGAGATTATTGATTTGGACCATCCTGCTTAAAATTGAAATGTCAGCAGCCATTCTTATGTTAATTGCTTATTCAAACATGGAAAAAGTTAAGGAGTGAAAAATAAATGGTGGATTCAGTATTTGCATGAGTTATAAAGAAGAGTCAAACTTTTCCTTTAATTATTATTATTTTTTAGGTCATGTCCTGTTCTTCTCAAGGACATTGCCATCTTTTTGGGTCCTTGATAAGTATGGCAATCCATCTCGTTGTTGACTTGACCTTTTTGCCAGTTTGTAGCTGATTCTTCTTTTTCCCGCCCCTTTATTTTTCTATTCCTTTCTTGTAATGATATTTCCATGTTTGCTCTTCAACAACAATTGTGTTTCACTTCACAAAATCCTGATGCAACAATTTACATATTCTCATTTGTCTTCTGACGTTGGGTTCATGCTGGAGAAGACTTTTTGTTGACTTGATTTCTTATTAATAATATTCTCAAACCTAGAATACTGAGTTCTATATCTTCTTTGTAATTGCATTAAACCATTTTCGTAATTTATATACAGGTTCTTAAATGAGCAAGCTGTTGCCAAGCAGCAATCAGACACTTCAAGGGGGGTCTATGTCTTTTCTGATATAAATCCATATGTTGGTCACCCCAATCCCTTGAAAGAGGGTCAGGAGCTGTTCCGTAAAGGGCTACTGAGTGAAGCAGTGCTTGCTTTAGAGGCTGAAGTTATGAAAAATCCTGACAATGCTGAAGGTTGGAGGTTACTTGGAATAGCCCATGCTGAGAATGATGACGACCAACAGGTCATAATTTGTGCATTGAGCTCCTCTGCTTATATTTCCTGTGTGCATTGATTTGAAATTTTTTATGTATTATCTTCCTATGCCCACATGCAGTCAAAACCTCATACATTCATGCAGTGAAAGACCCGGAAATTCAAATTTTTTTATTATTATTTTTGTTTGGGTTGGGGGGGGGGGGGGGGGGGGGTGGTTGCTCTTGAAGAATAACAAGATAAAAAATCTTATCTTCAATTTTTTTAACAAAATAATAAATATAAGAACTTAAATTTGATTGATAATATCTTTGTTTATTATATTTACGAGTGGATGGGGTGCAGATGCTGGAGAGTGAGAAAATGAGAGTGAAAGAGAGAGTAGATTACCATGAATGTAGGGCAGTAGAGAGTGAAGAAAAGAGAGAGAGAGCTAATAACTTTGCTTCCCTTTGGACCCAAAAATATCGGTGGGGGCAAGAATACATAGTGGGGTATTTTAAAAAATTGAGCAGGGGGGCATTTTTAAGATTCTAAACAAAATTATAGGTAGTAATGTAAATAAAAAAACGCCCCCACAGGGTCCTTGGTAGATCAATGCCTGTTTTCATGGATTAATTTTCAGTTGTTTAGACAACAAGCAATGATTTGGATACATATTAAACTAGTTCTTAATATATATAAATTTTAGCATTATTTGAATTTTTTCCAGAAAGAATTAATTTTATAGTATCTATGAGTTGACATCTTGGTGCGATCATAGTAGCTTTATTGCACCGGATCCCATCTGAACTCAGAAGTTATGCGTTTTTGGGTGAGAGTGGTACTAGAATGGGTGACCCCCTTTTGCACCCGTTGTCTGGCGTTTTTACTAATCAAAAAAAGGAAAAAAAAGAAAGAAAGAAGAGTTGACTTGGAAGTGTTAGAATATTTTGGATGATAAGCTCATTATTTTATCTTTTTCGGATGGAGATGAAAAATATTACTGTTTGTTTGAGTTTCTTGTATAAATAATGAAAATAAAGGGGAAAAAGCACCTCCTAACTGTACAAGCATAAGAACCAGAGGGTTGTTTACTGTAATAAGATGCATTTCCTAGAATATCTTTTGTTGGCTTTGTTTATTGAGTTTTCACTTGTACTGAGAACTATGTAGAAGCCCAAACTTGACCTTTGTGAAATGTTAAATCTCTCGAATGTTGTTACGGATCTGTTCTTTTATCATCTTATGCTGAGAGTTGTACTATGTACTACTTTATCAATTTCAAAGATTTTAGTGTAATTTAAAGCTGATGCTTGTATCAAAGCTCTATTACCTTATATTTGTAGGTTTATATGTTTTTTCATCTCTCTTTTTTACAATGGAGTTTGACTATTTGGCTTTTTACGTAGAATGATTTGACTCAATTGAACCAAACAAAGCCTAATAGAGTAATATATATGCTACAGCTAAAACCTGCATCACATCTGTTGAAATGGTGAAATTTCTTAGGTTGTAGTGGAGATCTTGACTATAGATATTGGACTTTCTTACAACTATTGCACTCCCTTATTTGTGGTGGAAATTCTGCTTCACAGGCTATTGCATCAATGATGCGTGCACAGGAGGTTGATTCGACAAACTTGGAAGTGCTTCTTGCTCTTGGTGTGAGTCATACAAATGGTTAGTAATTGATTCATGTGCACAACAATTTGATTCTGTTTCTGCAAACATATTTAATATTCAAGCAAGAAATTACAAATAAAAACTTTAAATAAATCTGGCTGTTTGTAATTTTAAGTTTCTTGGAATAGATATTTGCAAGAATTACAATGTATTAATTATAGCTTTATGATGGACACTCAAACAGTCAAATATCTTTGCATAATTTCAGAGTTGGAACAAGCAGCTGCTTTAAAGTACTTATATAGTTGGTTACGTCATCACCCAAAGTATGGAACAATTGCCCCTGCGGAATTGTCTGATTCTCTGTACTATGCTGATGTACGTATCCTTGTTACGACTCTCTCTCTCTCTCTCACACAAAAAACTGTAGAATTTCTGTTGATGTTTGGTGTTTCTAAGGGCAGATCGTAGATAATAGATCTCAAGGGATTCCTTGTCAGTCTCTCCTGTTAACTGTACAGTACAAATTTCTACAGAGACACACAACTTGTTGCTCTTATCATTCATTTGAAATCTCACTTTCGGTTGTCACATACAGGTTACTAGATCATTCAATGATGCTGCCCAAATGTCACCTGAGGATGCTGATGTACACATAGTGCTTGGTGTCTTATACAACTTATCCAGAGATTATGACAAAGCTATTGAATCCTTTAAGACAGCTTTAAAACTCAAGCCGCGAGATTACTCTCTTTGGAACAAGCTAGGTGCAACACAAGCTAACAGTATTCAGAGTGCTGATGCAATATTGGCTTATCAACAGGTACTCCCTATTTTAAAAGCAGTTCTACTATTGGAGTATTTTGGTTGTCATGTGAAAATTGAATCAGCAACTCATTTACTTTTCATATGCCATTTATACACAAAAGTAGTTGGATGCAATTGTTATATAGTAACTTAAATGCAATCAAAATATATCACTTGGTGATTAAATGGAGAAAAAAAAAAAAAAAAAATGAAAAATAGATGGCATTGGCGATCCATCGTCGCTTAAGAAGATGGTGATATCGATGATTAAATTTCAAAACCATTTCCTTCGCCACTACTTTCATTAAAGCAAATAGTGGTTTAGGCTGTTGAGTGGAGTCTGGAGGTCGTCTTTCTCACGGAAAGACATGTTTCTTTGTGACCTCTCCATCTCCGCATGCAGTACGCTGAGTTTCATTGTGCCTCAAGGACGCAACACTATCCATGCCTCAAATGTTGTTGGTCATTCTGCCTGTCAATTGTATATTTACTGTGCTAGCACTTACGCGGTCCTACTCATACAGTCTAGAGTCTAAATCGTATATTCATTCCCTTTCAGAAACTATAGTCATTACTGCATCTCCTTTTGGATTAGGTTCCCATCTTTTCCCTTACCGCCTTTACATTTTCCAGTTTTAACTAATTTACTTCATTCCATCTCTTACTTCTCAGGCACTAGATTTGAAGCCAAATTATGTTCGTGCATGGGCGAATATGGGCATTAGTTATGCCAACCAGGTTATTTCAATGCTTTTTTCTTCAGTGTTATTATTATCTTGGCATTTGCTGAATACTTTCATGTCCTGTTCTGGCTTCTTTCCTATTTCTGAGGTGTTGGGTACTGATATATGAAGTTTTTGTTATTAGTGCATGTGCGCTAGAAATTTTTGACAGAAACTGACTGTTGAATAATTTTTATAAAAATAGGGAGGCTCTACTGACACTCCATAGTAAGCCTCTTGGACTTCACCAGTTACTTTTATTAATTAAAAGTCAAAATTATCCTTCTTAACTAAATCCATCTTTTGATGGTGCAGGACTTACAATGCGACCTCTAACACATGACCAAATTTGATCCCACCACACTTCTGCTGTGTATGCAGTAGCACTGTCACAGTCCAAATCATCATAACAATTTGTTAGTTTTTATCACTTCACTTGTGGCAATTCATGTCATCTTTTGCAACTTGCCACCTCTATTCATGAAAACCAAATCCTTTGTCATCTACATCTCCTTTTTCATTCTTTGCAATCATATCACCATCAATAATGGGCCAAAAAACTCTATTTGAGTTTTAGGATTACTTACTTTTCAAGCTCCTCTTCGCAACCTTGCTCAACTACTTTCACTGGCTCTCTCATAAAATTGTAACAGTAAAATTGAATTTGCTAAGGATTGAATGACTTTATAAGAATTTCATAAATTTTGTAATGATGTAAATTGGAGTGTTCTTTTATTTAGTTCTCTGTTAAAAGATCAGATCAAGGTGTGTGGTTATGGTAAGAAGAAATTTGTTGTGATGGTGGGTGGGATAGTGGACAGGTGTAACGGGCTGGGCGCTTGACATCCGATCCAAAGGCTTAAGCTGTAGGGTGGTGCTGCCTATCCACTCTTATAAGTGTAAGACCCTCTCCATCCATATCCCGTGTGGGACAAGACCCCTTGTTACAACAGGGACCATGACCAATAGTAGCAGGCCCAATACATGCTGAGAACACTATTTTTCTGATTCTTTATTTACAAAAATGAGGGAAGGCCATTTTGAAAACCCTAGTAATTTGGACCATGTGATTAAGAAAGGTGAATGGATATCGGGGATGTTTATTGAACAAGTTTGAAACTAATGGTTCTGTTCTTCGGTGTGTTGTATGTTAAGTGTACTTTAGATTGAACTTGTGAATGCCTTAATCTTGATTGCAGAGGTTGGTGTAGAAGGTAAAACAGCAAACTTGGGGTTTATTCTTCTAGCTGTTTCGCAGAGAGTAAGAAATTTCGTTTTTTTGAGATGGAAGAATTCAACGGGAGAGAAAATATAGGATCCAGAGCTACGTATGGCTGAAGAAATGACTTTAAGGGAAATTTATCGTTCCATTTATAGGGTAGTAGGGGCAGATGCCAGAAGCTCTTATTGAAGTGCTAATGGTTCTATCCTGGAAGGATACTGTGAGCAATGATTTAAGTGCGTAGTTGATATACACCATAAAGGAAGAAAGGTGGAAGAGGTTGATGTGATCAGATTGGATGGACCTCCGAGGAACATGAAAAATTATTATGTTTTACTTGATATTTGAATATGGAAGTTGGGTCATGCCGATTGGAATTTTTTCTTTAGTTGGTTTAATGGTTGTGGAATCGCCCTGGTCAGGGAATTGTTTAACATAAATGATTGTTATAATGCTTTGAAGTGATAACAGAACCTTGATTACGGTCTTGTCTGAACAATAAATCTCATCCAATATCGCCAAAGCTATGAAGTTAGTTCCATTTTTTATCCCCTCTAGCCATCAGTGCATTGAATATGCAATTTATTTAATTTTTTAAACACAGGGTATGTACGAGGATTCTATTCGTTACTATGTCCGTGCACTCGCGATGAATCCAAAGGCAGATAATGCCTGGCAATATTTGAGAATTTCTTTGAGGTATTTGATTCGAAACTTGAACTTTTTCATTGCATTCAAGCAACTCAACTACAAGTCATAAATCCTTTTCATGATTTTCTTCTGTAGCTGTGCTTCTCGGAATGACATGCTGGAAGCTTGCGACTCCCGGAATCTTGACGTTCTCCAGAAAGAGTTCCCACTTTGATATATTTATTTTTGGGAATGTTGGATAAAACAATGGGCTCTGCTGCATAGATGTTGCGAAGCTACCTCAATGTCTTGGTGATTGGCAAGGAGGACTCGGTCCAGGCTGATGACTTTAATCTTAATTTTTATTTCAAATTAAGGTTCTATATCTTGCTGTGTTTGTCCGACTGAATGACACCGCTTCGGTTTTGGTAGAACGTCCTAGAGAATTTGAAGACCAAATATAAGCTAATCTCGTTCCTTAAAATTTGATTCAATGAAATTGTATAATTGAGCCCCAACACTGACTATAGGGGTATAGTTGTTTAAACCAAACAGGAATATATGAATAAAAATTTATTGCATGTTAGAAAAGCTAAAAAAAACAAGAAATAGTGAATAAAAGATGGAAGGTTGTCCAAATAAATGCTATTTGATATATTGAATTTTTTTAATGTTGGCTTAAATACATTCAGATGGAGAAAGTTTGCATGTATGATTGCATGATTTCTAATTTTTTGAATACAAACAAACTGCAAATGAAAATTGGTGTGCAACAGAGACCTTGCTTTTACTTTTAGGTGCCCGTCTAAAGTCGTCCTTGTGCAAATTGGAATTTGGAAGCAGTTTTTATGTTTGCGATGTTTGATGATACACAAACCTTTTAGTCACGGAGTGAAGAATTAGAATTTGATCACAGAAATTAGGCATATATCTTACACAGTCACGCCTATACATATTAAGTACTTCATCTACTATGACATATTATTATTATGTATGAACCACGAAACGATTCTTCTTCAGACTGCAGGAGATACCGTGTTCCATCAACTCTTTGCGTGACCCACCTAACCTTCCTTGTCAATCCCACATGTGCACCGCATCCAAGATCTCAGACTTTGCATGTGTGAAGACCCACGTGTGTAAATTAAAATTCGTAAGATGGGGTAATGTACTCTCTGAATCAACTAAAAAAATTTGAAATTATGCTCCCAATGGGGGTGGTGTGCCTTGATGCTTTTAAAAGTTCAACTTGTTTCAAACTTTATTATTATTATTATTTTTTTAAAATTTTTGGTAAAGGGTAAGTTAAAACTTGTTTCAAACTTTTCAGTGAAGAGTTTTCTTCAATACTCGAAATGATTTATCATGGTCATAATATTTTTCTTGAGCTCTGATACCAAATTTTGTTAAAGTAAACTGTGAAATAGGTAAAATTTAATTTTAATATGAAAAGGTTAAAATACCTATTTGTAAATAGGTTGTTCTACTTAGAAATTTTACACTTCTAGTCAATTACAATCTTGACATGCAAGCAAAAAATTGACACATTAATTTACTTACATGTCAGATTGTGATTGACCCGTTGACCATGTAATTGTATATATACAAAATAGAGATTAATAATTTTGAGCCTTATGTCACGCTTTGCAACAAGAGGTTACGCCACGCAGACGTCCAATAGGATATGACATGGTAGCCTGCATGGACCGCGAACATTCTAGACTTCTCTACACTAAGGAGCCTTTCGAAATTCGATCTCTAGAACCTTGTAGAACTGTCTAGATTTGTGTATATATGTATAGAGTTTTCTAGATTATTCTAGACTTGTATAGAGCATTATTTGGAGGATTCTAGATTCATGTTCTAGACCTCACATTTGTACATATCTAAAATGTTCTTGTAAGGGTCAAAGGCTTATATAAGGAGGTGAGGGCTCATTTGCTCATCACCAAGCAACCTGAGTTGTAATCTTCTCTCGATAGCAATACAAGTTCTTCATTCTCACAAACTTTCTCTTGCTCACTTGTCTAACTCTTTTCCTACGCACTTGTCAACAAGCAAAACACCTGTCTAGTCTCAGTATTTACTAAGCTAGCACATCCAAGTAGGTTGCTTTGGTCTTCACTAAGCTAGCACATTTAGGTAGGCTAACTTAGCACTTCAAGGGGGCTTGAACGTGTCTAAGGCTGCATTGAGCTTGAAAAGGTCCAAGTCTGTTGTTGAAAAGGCATTATATATATATATATATATATATATATATATATATAACCAATTAAATGTTAGATACCTTTCAAAAAAACTAAAATTGTTAGATTGGTTGAGAAGGATATCTTACTGCAGCTTGGTTTGGTTAAATATTGTTGAATCATGAAAGGATCATCATCTTTATATATAATTATTATTTATGTCATATTCCAACTTGATAGATTCCCATAAACCCTATCACTACTATTTATTACTCCGTACTTACTATATATGTATCATCAATTAATTAAATGAATCAAAAGTTTTAGAGCACATCAACCAGCTTATTCTGCATGTCACTAAAAATTTGAGTTTCTTGCTCTTTTTCATTTATTCTCTCCAACATACCATAAGATATAGTATCTCTCTCTCACACGCACAGGCACACGCACATGGGAAATTGTTGCATCATATTACTCAGTATCAAAGCTTCTGGCAGTTGCCTTCCTGATGGAATTGATAATTGCAACAAAGTTTGGGGTATTTAGGAGTCTAGATCCTCTGCTGTAATTCCCAACAATATATAGTGGTGATGTACACTCTTCAACATATAACAGCGGAATGAAAAAAAAAAAAAGTATATGTAAACGGGTTGAAAATAGATTAAATACCAGTGTTGAAAATCACTACAACTCACTATTACTTTTTGCACAAAACTTGTTTCACTTCTCAATCATCTAATTATACCCAAAGGAAACACACACACATATATATAGAGAGTAGCTTGAGAAGGCAAGATGAGACAAGAGAAGAGATCACTACACATTACACAAGCACACCCTTCACGCAAACAAACCTAGAGAGATCGAGAGGCTCAAGCTTTAATTTTTATTTGCATTCGCTGCGACAATGTGATAGCTAGTAGTAAGTAACATTAATTTTTAAATAATTACCCTGTTAATCAATGTTCCTTTCGTTTTAGTTATTGTAACTAATTTGTCACATCATTTTGCATATATTCCGACTTTTTTGGTGCACCGTTATTGTTTTTTTAATCACATATCACAATCAGTACAAGTAGGGAACAACAGCACAAGCTGATTACTCAAAATAAGAACAAAAGTAGTACCAGCTTTATAGTTTTAAATGGCTAGTGAAACATTATTGGCATTAAATAAAATAGGAAAAACTAACCCACCCAGAAGATAATGGCAAACAGCTCTCTAGAACAAAGATGCAATCACTTTAATTCGAATATAAAGTGATCAAATGTTCCAATCAGCTTTTGTTGCCTCTTGATCGAAAGGCTGAAATTAAGTAGATTTGGTTATAGAATCTTACATTAAAAAAAGGAAATTTAAAAGGAGGAGAAAAAAAAGTAACACTAAGATTATGTATGTTAATCATAAAATCTATATCTATTCATTCCAAGTAGCTAATAGTAGTATAGAACAGAAAATTCAGTTTCATGATCACTAGAAGAAAAACCTGAGTGAAGGTAGGTAGCTAGATGGGAATTATATAGGCAGGAGGCTAGCAATTGCAGCTGCTGTTTTCTTACAGATTTTTACATGATCATTCAGAATGCACCCATTTACGCGCATGATCAACATATATATATATATATGTACGTATGTGATATTTAGTGCCACGAAGAAACTGCGAATAGAGGTTGATTTTGCCAACCTAAGAAGAAACAATGGTTTAGACTAAAAACTTGGTAACCCTCAGAAGGATAGTGTAGCCTCAAGAGAAGCTTTGCCTGTGAAAGTGCAAAAGGGCTTAAAGAAACACCCTCAAACCCTGAGCTCCTCAACATCACCTCCCAAGACCTCAGCCTCTCATGCCTTTCCCTCCTGCCCTCTCCCTCCTCCGCCACGATATCCGAAATCTCCCTCCCGAACCACACTTGCTCCACCGTCAGCCTCTCGCCGCTGTTAGGCGGCAGAGTAGCCTCCAAGGAGTTGAAAACCGCCGCATAATGGTCCACAGCCTCAATAAACCTCTGCAAGAAAATGGGGTGGTTGTGGTTCGCTTCTCTCTCGGCCAAGGTCACCACTTTAGGGTTCATGGCCTTAATCCCATGAAGAAAAACTAGAAGATTGTCCCGGTCTTTGAGGAGTCTGTGAAGATAAAACATACAATTCACAGCTAGGGTTTCATTTGGTAGTATATATGGGGACACCATGGAGATAATGTCTTCGTCACTGATGACAAGAAGTGGGTGAAAGTAGAATTTTAGGCCGAGGGTTTGGGCGAATTTTGAGAGGCGGTCACCGGTCCTTCGGAGGGTATTAGGGTTTTTTCCGGTGGCGGTGATTCGGAGTGTGGGCGGAGGATAACGGTCGGCGATTGCCTGCATCAAAGGCGGCCATTGCACGCCGTGCATGATGTCAAAATCGAGGATGTGGATGACTGCTTGGCCTTCAATGGCTTCCAAGATTGCTTGATTGGCTGTGAGCTGACTAAACCTAATAAATGGTGTTATTTGGTTGAGTGATAGGTATGAGTCCAAGTGGGTGATGACATTAGAGGCGGTGACAGTACTAGTGGCGGAGGCCGTGACGTGGCGGTTGAGGCGGAGAGTGAGGGCTTTGGTGAACTGGTGGACTAATCTTTGGGTGGAGTCACCGTGAAGGGAAGAGTTGGCGGATAAAATGGTGAGAAGGCGGCGAGCGGCGGAGAAATCGAATTGTGAGATAAGATGAGCACAACTTATTAGTAATTGGCGCAATTGGGTTGCCGGAGATGTAATCGTCAGTGGTGGTGGTTGTTGAATATGGTGGTGGTAGTGCAAATGATGTGATGGTAATACTGGTATTTCCTCCTCTTCCTCATACTGTAAAGAAGAACTAAAAGAACCCAACATCTCTCTTACTAGCAGTACTGGAAACCCTAATCAAGGATGTTGGGATGAAACCCTAGGGAGATGTTCATATATATATATATATGTCTCTGTGTAATTGCATGTGTCTATATTTATAGAGAGAGAGAGTTAATTGTGGAGGAGATTTATGAGACTTGTGAGAGTAGCATCTATGACACAACATTATCTGCAAGAAACATGGAAGAGCTCACTCGCTGAAACTAGTAGTAGTTAGTAAAAGCAACAGTGTGTGTATGTCAGTATGTGTGTGTAAACTGTAAAGTTATAAACAGATCAATGGGGATGAAAAATGAGCCAAAGTTATTACTGTAGGGTTAGCTCCAGAGTCCAGAATGAGTTGACCTCATTTCAGTCACCACTGTATATTATAATGGAAAAAGAAATCTTGTTGTAATTCTTTTCTAATTAAAGTTCTTGAAAAATAAATAAACAAATAAATAAATATATATATATATATATATATATATATATATATTATGATCTACAGGAAGATCATGAAATGCGGCACATCATAATATAAAATATAAAAGATAAAATTAACCTAACCAACATGAACCGGATATGAGACTGACACCGACACATGCGATACGAAACGGATACATCGACATGTCAAATTTTAAAAATAAATAGGATACAAATACAGCTTGGACACGACTATATATATATATAAATATGAATTTTTATTTTTATACATCTATTGATTAATAACATTTTAAAATTTTACTGTAATTCATTTCTAATTTCTATAGTAAGAGTTGTTCTGAAATGATTTAGAAAATGAAATTATGCCATTATTGTAATAATCTTATATCATATTGCTTTACTTCTGGAATTTTTTTTAATTTTTTTATATATTTTATATTATTCCACTACTTTGTCATAATATTATTTTTGTTTTAAATGAACAAACTAGTGCCATTTTATGCTTCACTTGTCATCATATATATATATATATATATATATATATATATATATATCATGTTTCTATGTTTGGTTGGAGAGAAAGATTGAGAAGGGATGGATGCGAAGGGGGATTAAAAAACCTTCTTGTGTTTGGTTGCAGGGGAAAGAAGGGAGGGATGAAACATTCCCCATTTCATTATGTTTTTATATCCGTCCAAAATTGGGGAAAGAAGAGAAAGAAAGCAGGCTTAAAGAAAAAAAATAAATACTATAGACTTTGTTCATATTATTTTTAAGATTACTGGATAGACTTACGTCCAAAATGTCTTTGAAGTGTTGGTGAAGTACCTGAAAGTGTCTCATAAGTGTCCAAAATAATAAAATTTAATTTTTATTTATGGATAAGTATTATTTATTTTTAGAATATTAATTTTTTATTCATTCTTGAAAATTTTCAACATCCTATTGAAACAACCATTTTAACAGTCATACATATATTTTAATACGTAGAATATATATACTTTGCTTTAACTTTATTAAAAAATTAAAAAAAAAATTGAAAAACTAGAGAATTAGGTAGGAGTCCTAAACAACAAAGGGGTCAATTTTAAAAGTTAAAATTTCAATTTAGTTGAGTTAAATAAAATTATTACATATACATTGGAAACCATTATTTAGGACTAAAACACCCTCTAAACTCTTATTCCAAAAATATCAAATTATCAATCTTAAATTAAATAATTTTTTTATTCAAGAAAATTTGAAAAACAAAATTTTCGAGTTCACTTTCAACTTGGAGGGGTGATATAAATATTACAAAAAAAAAAAAATAATAATAAAATAAAAAACAACACACTGACACACACACACACATATATTTAAAAAATTTATGTGCACATAAATTTAACAGCATCTCTTAATTTATATGGGTTCAAACATGCAAGTGTTAATTTAGAAATATACAAATAATTTAATAAAAATTCATTATATAGAGAGAAATTTTCTATGCGTCTCCTAATTCATGCCAATGGTGAAAACTTTCATGTGAACAGAAAGAATATATATATATATATATATATATATAGTACACACGCAGGCACCGGAGAGGGGATCATGAAAAAACAAATGAAATGGTTGCCTCATAAATGGTACACCAGCAACCATTTCTTTATTTATATAAAAAAAAGGTAATTAATTGAGCTAAATGATTATCATCTCAAGACATGCATCAAATCACAAATATTTATATATTCCTTTCAGGGGCTAATCTTTAATTGCCGGATTTTTCATTATATTGGATTTTTTTGATTGGTTGTATAAGTTCTCATATATATGGAAGTTGTAGCAATACCATAGAAAGATCTTGTTTTCTAAATTTCTTGAGTAAAGAAATTATTCAAGAAAGTGTTTGATTTAAGGGAAATAATTTAATAGTCTAGAATAAAAGTTTGGAGAATATTTGGAACCTGAACAATAATTTTTGATGTATATGTAATTATTATACTTAAGTCAATCAAAGGGAAAAAATAAAATTTTAAAATAAACTATTTAAGATTACTAATTTCATGTAAGTGTAATTTTCTGTATAAAATAAAAAAGAAAGAATCATTATTTTTTATTTTTCATATAAAGAGGACAACATTAATACATTTTTGTTTTTTCTGGCAAACTAGTTTAGGCTGGGTTTTAGTAAATAATAATAATAATAAATTAGTTCAATTAAAAATTTAGATGGGTTTTATTGTTCTATACTTTTTTATTTTTATTTTTTATCTAACTTCACCTTGAACTTCAGATAACTATCATTTTCTCAATTTAATTCTTGGGTCAATTTTGAATTGGGCTCAGGTAGTGCGAGCATATCCAATCCAATCTGGGTTCTGGCAGGCCCAACCCACAATGATTATCTAGTCCCAAGATTATGGTTCACATTCCACATGTTGGTGATTTCATTGTGAAAATCATATTGTATACGTGTATATTTTTTGTTAGGCGCGAAAATCATGTTGGTGCCACTGCCACCAAAGTGGTCGAAAAATGAGATGCAACTGTAAGTTTGTCAATGGATCGGATTCGAATCGGATCACCAAATTCGTATTCGATTTTTTTAACTAACATATTCGGATCGTTAATGGATTGGATTGAATGTTCTAATCTATATTTTAATTGCCTCAAACTCGGATCGGATTGTATTCGGATTCAGATTAAAATCATATTCACTTAAGTCTAATTATAAGATTAGATGGACTAAAAAATTAATAATATATATATAGATACTATGGTGCATGATATAATTATGCAATCAAATTATCTAATGATAAATAATTAATATTATACATTTAATACTGTAGTAGATAACTAATGTAATGAATATATATATATATATATATATAAAATATTAATCTGATCACTACTGGATTGGATTGCCTATAATCCAAATCCGATTTGTTAATTATCGAATTTTTATTCAACCCATATCTGAATAATTGAATCGAATTCGGATCATAATCTGATCCGGTCCAAATGGACGAATTTCATTCTCACATTTTTTTTATTTGATAAAAGTGTGGCATGAGTTTGATAAATAAATAAATAAAGATGCCACACACAAAATAAAAGGATGGTTCTTTGTGTTTTTCATACAAACTGAAAGAACAATATAGCAAGGAAAGAAAAGAAAGAAAAAAAAAAAACAATATAGCATCCTTTAATAGGTGAATATGTCTTTTATCAAAGAGTTGAATAAAGTGTCCATAAACAACAAGAAAAATTAATAAATATTAATGGAATTGAGAGTGAATTAATAAGCACTTTCCAGTAAAGAGACCAAACCCAACAAGAAATTTAATAACTGTTAATGGAATTGAGAAATAAATATTAATGAAATTGAGAATTAATGAGCACTTTATAAGTTAATGGCCAAATCCAACAAGAAAAATAAATAAATATTAATGGAATTGAGAAATGAGCACTCTCCAGTAAAGAGATCAAACCCAAAAGTAAAAACAAACATAAATAAAACACTCAAAAGCACCAAGCGAGTACCTAACAAATACATTATTCTCACCTACCAACCTTCTGCATATAAAGATACTTAATTTTGTTCATTGAACAGAAGACCTTTGAAACTAACCTAAACACAGTCAAGAATTAAAGCTCATTCTGACTAAGGAACAAAAAAATCCTTACATAATTCATCCTCCTACAAATTGTATCATTATCACTAAACAAAATCTGCAACTGATCATTTTAGCAAGACATACAACAAACCTAATTGCTGCTTTCCGTTCTTGTGTATTGATGTTTGTACAAATTGTATGCACCCACTTCATGTGCATCTTGCAGCTTGGAACTTACAGAGACCTAGTTTGGCGATTTTTTGCGACCGAGGTGGGCATTGGGTGGTTCCCTTCCATCTGCTTCAGGCAACTTGAAACCCGCAGACTTTCTGTTACAGCTATAAGATGGCATTCATTCGATCTTCGAGAAAAGAAATGATTCTAATTAGATTATGAAAACAGACACAGTTCTCTCTCTGATTGTGTGTGAAAACAAATCCTCGGAGATGTTTCATAACCATTTCCTCCAACTGGCTGATCTTTTGTCGCCAGACAAGAACCTGGGAATACTTAGCAAGGTATTGACCCGGCTAATACCTTCAAGGGCTGACCATTCCTCTTCCTCAGCAGTTGAGAGGCACTCAGCCAGGCTCCTCTTAGACTCGCTCTGGCACCTCTCGGGAAGCTTTTCTTCTTTTGACTCAGAAACGGACACAATTTCACTAGTCTCTGTTGAAGCACCCCAATGCTCAAGAACAGAAGCATGAGAAGCTGAAACATCACCACTACCTGAACTCCTAGTGTCCCCATCTATTACAGGAATGCTCTGCATTGACTCTTCTGGAGTCCTAGTAGAGACATTCTCTGGTTGAGCCACATCAGCTGCGGATACATGTTCCAGAAAGAGGCATACAGCAGCACAGTCATCAATCTTGGAAGTGGGATATTTAAGCCTCCACGCTCTAGTAGCACAGTCGACAAGAGCTCTGGCTGCTGTTGCGCGACCAGGGGCTGAGGCAACGATTTCTACAGCTTCCTTATTTGAGAGGACATCCCAAACCTGTGTCAAAATGATATGAGAAATTGAAACACACATATAGGTTGATTGACTATTGGCACATATGTGGTTTGCAGGAGGGCTTTGCCTAAGCTAATGTACCCACATAAAGATGGATTTCTGACCTTATTCTACACAACGGCATAAAAGTATAAATTTTTTCAAGTGGCAACAAAATTCACTACAATGGAAGAGCAGACAATGCATATATATATATATTTTTAAAACCATTCCACTACGAATAGTCACACCAAGAATAAAATACTGAATTTCAAATTAAAAGCAGAAGAATCTTGCAAGTACACCATAACTGAATAACAAGAATTTAAGAGAAGAATACCCCATCAGTGGCAAGAACAACAAACTCGTCTTTCTCAGTAAGGCGATGGTAATAAACATCTGGTACAGAAATTAAACCAAAATCCTTTAAACAGAAGTCTCCAAAAGCTCTAGCCATTGCCAAACCAGGTGAGTCACTATTAGGCAGCCATACACGTGCAACCTCTGGCTCATCCTGCAAAGCGAAGATCCTTCCCTTGCATTGCTTGATCCTAGCGGCTTCTCCTAAACATAGAAGGCAAGTCTGTTAAATCTTTGGATATCCAAAGTGTAATCTTTTTGAGAAATCTGTTTTCAAAAGGCTTGTATTTAAAAGACTTTTGCTTTCTTCTTTTTCTACTTCCTTTCCTTTTTCTTTTGTTAGAGTATCAGCTCTAGTTAAGTGTGATCTTTTATGTGTGTGTTTGTGTGCATGAGAGAGAGAGAGAGAGAGACTTGGAAGATTGGGTTTCAAGTCAATTGTCAGCTGTACAGCAGTCAAACAGTTGTCTTTATCTCTCGTTGCCAGTATAGCTCTCGAATCACCAACATTTCCAATTATAAGATCCTGAGCCTGAAGAACCACATTTACAAATCAGTGACATAATGTGAGTTCAGTCTGAAACATCAGTTAGAATAAATAACTTTTTCTGCATTCAGTACACCGCATGCATAAAACTTCAATATGTGCTACATCTCTCGATGCATTATTCCATTTGGGATATGTTATATTTAAAATATATCCAAGAAGCTGAAGAAATATTGACCACAATTTGATCCACACACCAACCTGACTGAAAATAGGGATGTCATTTGTCTCGCTAAATTAATTGGGGGTCAGTATCCTGAATTCAACCGTTCTTTGACGATTGTAATCAAGTCAGGTCCCTAAACCGGTAAAATCAACATATTTAGCAAGAAAATTATTTCTTCCACAGAAAAATCTGCAAGTCGACAAATCAAGCAAAAAAGAGGAGACTTCCCCAACATGTTGGTGCATTAGTTCGTCTACAACATCCTCATTTCAACTACATTCATTTTGGCAACATGTTCCTTAATTGCCTATTTTTTTCAGATCTTGAATAATAGCTATCCTTATTAATGTTTTCTAAAACTTTTCCATTCGGTTAGTAAGATTCCACAGTCGCACAACACTCGGGAAGCACTTGTCCATTTCATTCACCTTATCATAATTCTATGAACAACGTCCCCAACAATATCTACATTTAAGATAGGAAATGGACCTCTTAAGTATCTTTCGGCTGTAACATTTCAATATCCCACCATATTACACATACTCTCCATTTTTAATGCGTAATTTAAACCTTTTAGATTTTTCAGCATTACTCCAATCAGGCACTTAACCCCTACTCTAGTTTTGTCAATTTAAACTCCAAATCGGCACTAGGCAGCCCAAATGATAGGTTCAATAATGTCATGGCACGAATAGCATATACAAGCGAAGTTAACAAACTATAAAGACCATCTTGCAAACGCACTAAGGATCTAAACTGAAACTTTAGAGCATATATAAATTGTTGACAATAATAGAGGTAGTGTCTAGCCAAATACTCAGCATCTACGTATAATAACTTTCCCATTAAACTCCCATAACTCTCTTAGCTACTTACTTTACTTTAAAATTTAATATTGGGTAGATAGGTTTATCAACTGGTTTGACGCTTAAAATAACTAATTCGAACAAATTGATAAGAACAAACACCTGTATGCCAACCAGTTGCTTCAGACACTAAAAATATGCAATACCAAGATATCTCAGGTGAAATGCCTGCTAAGGTAAAAAAGTGATTAACACTGTTATGCCACTCCCAACAACCTAATTGATGATTATACCTCACAATCTCACACACACACACTGCACAGTTAAATGAAAATCTGAAGTTTAACCAACCCAACTATCGAACAAGAAATGGCTACTAAAGAAAGATAAAACTCCTTATTTGACTAGAGACTAGATTTTGATTTATGCAGGCCCAGATAGTATGATCTCTCTTTCCCAAGGGCAGGTTGAGTGTTTGAGCCCTACTAGGGGCAATATTGTGGGGGTGTGTGCATTTACTTTAACTTTTGGAAAGGAAAAAGAAAAAAGAAAAAAGAAAAAAGATGTACAAAATACTAAAAGACTCAATATTTACATGCCATCTGATGGTTAATTTTTCCCATGTTTACAGAACTTCCCAATTCCTGCAATTGGCCTTAAAAGAGCACTTAGACATGCTATCTCCATTTGTTAAACTTCTCTAACTTTGTTAATCTTTTTTCTTTCCTTTCTAATTTTGAGTTATTTATGTGCTAACAGGTCCGATTAAACATTCCAGAAGACCTGTAGAAGATTTCTATGATATTCTCACTTTCTCAGTAATCCCGTCTTTTCCTTGTGCAATGTAAACTATCTCTGCCATGCATCCCCGTTTGTAGGATGGTTCAAAATGTGTATAAAACACTAACATAGAAAAATCAAACTGAAATTGCTTTAATGATTTAACAAGAAGAATCACCTGCTTTACCAGAGTAACAGCAGTTGTTCCACTGCAGAAACAGTCTATTGCTGGATGCAACCTTAATTCTTTATCCATCATCTTGAAAGCCTTAAGTATCGATTGCTTCAGTGGCAGATGCATCTCAGGGAATTTTTCGTTCTCCTCAGCCTCCAATACTTCACAACAATCTTCATCTGCAGTTTCCTCCAACTTTGTGCTTCCGCTCGCTATCCCGTTCTCACAAGGACAACTTCCATCGGTATGGGAACTAGCATTCCAATGAGTGCAAAGAAGAACAGGAAGAGAATCGCGAACTCGTCTTGCAACTAAATGACCGTAAGGACCATGACCATCAAACACTCCACAAAATATCGTATCACTTTTCGAACTGAAATTCTACAGTAGGAACATTCCAAGCAAGTCATCATTAACTGATCCAAAAGTGGAAACAAAATCATCATATTTTTAACCTAAACAAAAATAGTAAGAAGAATGGACTTTAGATTGGATAAGATTTGCCTCCCAATCCTTTATATCTTTTGGTTCTATATAATAGTGATTCTTACTTACCAAAGGAAAAAATAGTAAATAAACAGTCATGTTTATGTTATTCAAATTGTGTAAGATTCAAGAATGAAGTTTAGTCATACTACCGATAGCTAGATTTTTTCACGAACATACTAATTACAGCTTTATCAACATTACTTTAGTTTTAAATAAAGTTAACGCAAAAGCGAAAGATTAACAATAGATGTAGTTATCTTGCAATTGAAATGACTACAGAACCACAGTGAGCTAAAATTTCATCTTGCAGATGCTATGCCGGAACAGAGTTTCAGGCGCACATAGATACAGTACCAAATGCACATACAAAATAGAACAAACACCAAATGAGTAAGTGAAAGAAATGGTCGTCGGAAAATGGATTTCATACATACAATTTCTAGTAACTAACCTCCCAAACGATCATGGCGTCTTGATTAGTTCCTTTCTTACCCTGCTGTGTATGTAAGCTGGCGACGCCGCTCGCGCCGTTGACGAAAAACCTCCCGGGGATTTGATGGAGCCCGCGGCCGGCTGCGGCCAATCCGCCGCCGCCGCCACCCAACTTTCCGATGAATGAGATGAAATCACCAGAACTCGTTTTCTTTAACTTAACATCAAACCCACTCTTCTTGTTGCTAGTATTGATGTTATCATGGTTGTTCTTGCTCTTCCACCAATTATCTTCCTCTCCCTCGCGCCTCTTGCCTCCTCTTGACGAATAGCAAATACCCATTTCGATTCTAGACTCAATTCTTCACCAATCAACACAAAACAACTCAAATAATCTTAATGTTACAAAAAAAGAAAGATCCAACAGAACATGATCATGAAAACCCTAAATTTGAAAAGGATGAATACAGACAAACCCGGAGAGAGATAGCGAGAATGGAATGATTTTTGAGTAGGTGTGGTGGAAATTATGATATCTGAATTTCCATTTGTTTACTACTACTGCTACTACTTTGCTTTGGTCTACAATATTGTAATGGTGGCGTTTGACAGTGAAATTTAGGGGCAAAGCCAGGGTGATAACACGTGCAGAGGTTGAATTCATATAATTAACACATTTAACACCTTCATCTATATACTGTACCAGACACTACCACTCTGTGTGTAGACGCTCAACCATAACTTTCCTTTTTTATTAGACTACTCTCATTTGGTACTATAAGTTAAGGTCGACATTTTTAAGGCAAGAACAATTAAAATGACGACGACATGGATAAGTGATAAATTTTATCATCTATTTAAACTCAGCTCCATGTATAAAATTGAGATTCAATTCCCCTTCATTTGTTGTTTTAAATTTTAAACGGTAAACATGATTCAAAGAATTTTCATCGAAAGTTCGAGTTTAATTTAAACTTATTTCTTCGACTTTAAATTATGTTCATATTAACCAACTTAATTAGACTGCTAGAGTATACTCGAATCTCTAATAACTTAAATGTAGATCAAGTCTCGATTGAATTTAGGTTGTCAAACAGTTGTATTTAAGTTTAATCTTAATTGATGTCGGATTATAAATTTCAATTTAAGTATAGCTTGAGCAACAGAATATATATATATATATATATATATATATAATAAGACATAAGCATTGATTAAGGTTGATTCTATCAAATTATACCCTAAATAGTTCTTATTTGAAATGTTTGATATTTTAATGTAAATTAAGGCATTTTTATATTTTGATTCAAGTAACATTAATAGCCTAATGGTTACTAGTCAAGTAAAATGCATTATTAGTCTATTTAACTCGTGGTATTAGTCAATCAAGATGTTTAGGGGAGCTAATTAGTCTTAACAGAGTAATGTTTCGGTCAATTCACTATTTCAAAATTTCAACATTTATCATATTCAATGTCGTGAAAAGTTGGACTTATGTAATTGATAATAAATAAATAAAGCAGAAACAGAAAAACAGAGTTCAGAGGGATTGCTACCAAAAAAGAAAGCTTAGGAGTAAGATTAAGAATTGCAATTGCACTATCTATAATAAATTGCTAAGAAAATATAACTTATGCTCAAATCCATTGTGGATGGTAGAACAAGAAAGTGACTTAATCAGCAAGAGATGAGGTGGTCCTAAATGCCACTAACAAAGTATATGTATGTTTATAATATTTATATATATAGTATTTTTTTTTGTCCCATATTAATTGTACATCTTGATTTTATAATTTTTTAAGGGGACATATAATTAATGTATTGTTTTTTTTTTAAATTACTAAATTATCCTTTAAACATTAAATATATATAACACCAAGTTGTAAAATTTTAAAAAAATTAAAAAAATAATTTTTGATATATTTAAAAAAAATAAAAATGAACTACTAATATGAAAGTGTGTACGTATATTTGAGGGCCACCAACGTTATAACTACCTACACCTTCTCCTCGTTAAACGTTAATCCCCAAAATCCCTTTTCAAGCAAAATAATCGTAAAATAGACAAGTCTTTACACCCAACCACCTAACCTCATAAAAGAAAGTTAATATCAAAGGATTTATAGTTATAATGAGAGGCCACCAGCACCCACTCATTTCGAAGGAAATCATTTTCTGTCATAAACAACCAAACAATGCGCTTGGCCTTTTTTATTTATTTATTTTCTATACATTGGATGGTATGATATATATGGTGGGTCAAAGGAAGGTTTGAATGAAAAGACTAGTACTATCCCATCGATCTAGTGCCTCTTTAATTCTAACATCCATTCTAGAATTTCTGACTAATACCTCTTTTTTTGACTTGGCTCATCTTGGTTTTAGAATTTTTGTTTTGCATTCGCACTTCTTATTTTTCTCTATAAGTATACTGTACGATAGTTGTATTGTACACATAACACAATTCAGAATAAGTCTACGTGTTAGATGATAGATTATGAATTATCTTAAAAGACTTGACACCATCATAATTAAAATATATATAAATATTTATACTATGTATTGCGATATAATACTCACACCTTAAAAAATACAAATAATTTTACGAAAGAACAGTATATGTATCGTACCAATATCGGATATCAATACTCTTCAGATACGTATCTGACACTTCAAATACGCGTTCATAAATACAAAATAATTTTATTATTTCGGACAATTCGCCGACAGTTTCTGGATACTTCGCCAACACTTCTCGGACATTTCTAACACAAGTTTACCTAGTAATCTTGAAAATAATATGAATACTATCATGACAAAGTAGTGAAATAATAGTCTAATTCATTTCAGAACAACTCTTAATATAGAAATTATAAATGAATTAAAATTTTATAATACTATTACTTAATAGATGTATAATAATAATAAAAAATTATATTATCATGTAGTCGTGTCCATACCATACTTGTGTCCAACTTTTTAAAATTTTGACGAATCAATATATTTGTGTCATATCGTGTTTGTGTCTGTGTCCGTGCTACATAGCTTACAACAAAATAATGGAATATTTTTATATATATATATATATATATATTGACTTGAGTTCCACACTAATGCATTAGTTTTGTTATTGGTACTTTTATTTTAAACTAATAATAATAATATTTAGGTATCAGTTTGATATTTAAAACCATTGGTGAATTAATAGGTGACTAACTTGTGCTAACTACATGATGGTTGGCTAACTAAAAAGTCAAAGATGCCATCATTGCAGAAAAGGGAAAATTTATGGATGGAATTACTCATATTGGTGGAAGAAGACTCCTTTGAACTTTCCATCTCATAAAGGTCCATAATTATTAAATTGTTCTATAATTCAAATAGTTAGAATAAAAAAATGAAAATTACATAAAATTTCAAGTTTAAAGATTGAATTATAATATTCATGCTTAGTATTATAGATTTGACTTGTCATCTTTATATCTAAGATGAAAGTATGACAAGAGAGAGATAGATGGCATAATAATAATAATAATAATAATAATAATAATAATATATTTAATTGACACTCCCACATCTTTCAAAAAATTATTTGCATCTAGTAAGGATTGATAGACAGCTGTGACATATATCTTAAATGGGAAAATGGATAATTTGTAGTATATATTTATCTATGCAATGATGTGAATAAAGATGTAAGAAAAAGTAATTCAATAACAATATTGATTCAAAATAATACACAAAATGTCATAAGAAGTCAAGTTAAAATACTCAATCTCTGAAGTCAATCCAAATAGGGATTGAAATCCAACCATCAAGCAAATGTAAAGCAATTTAGTTAAACCAATAATCAAATCAAATAAAAAAAATAAAAATCTTCTTATTATATCTTGTATTAAAATTAGAGCCTTAAATATTTTAGAAAATTATAATTCAAATTCCAAACAACAAATGCCATTCATTTAGAAGGCTTATAGTCCATGATCTTTCTATCTAACCACCTAACCTCAAGAAACAAAGTTGCCATCACAGAACATAATATATAATGAAAGCTCAGCTGTACCCAATTAATTCAAATTATATAATCAACTTCTGCCATGAAGAAAATAGAGGTCCTTCGCCACGCAGAAAGATTAAAGTAGGTTTGGTGTTTTTTTGTTTTTGTTTTCATAGGTGGGTAAAAGGAATATTAGAATGGAGTTAGTAACACCAAGCAAACCCCAACATCCATCAGGGAATCTAAAGTGTCTTCTTCAAAAGTGTTCATTTTATATCCGTTTCAATCAGAAAATCCTTGCAATTCACTCTGAATTCAGAATCGATCAATTTATATGATTGAAATAGAAACATAAATTGACCCAAAATCTTCCATCTATACCTCATTTAAGGAAAATAATCAACGAATTTTCGTTTTAGATTGTCTTGTCATGATTTAATTATTATCTTAAAGGCAATATCAGACTCATGATCCATACCCAAAAAAAACAAAACAAAAAACGAGAGTCATAAATATATATATTTTTACCACTTCAAAATCATTAAAAAAAAAAATTCAACCATTTATAAATATAAAAATGACATAAAATTTGTTCCTTGGTGTTTTTGTAATCTATGCTGTAGAAAGTTTGCCAATCAGACAAAGTTTAAATATATACCACCTTAGTTCACCGCTTTGTGTCATGACAGTCCAAATTGATTAGTAATTGTATTTGTTCACATGCAATGTACTATAGTTTTTAGAATTTGTAACCCATTAACTTACATATTATATAACGTATGAATGATTGTTGAAAATAAACACTCTCTTCATCCGAAGTAGGAAGAAAGCTGTAGAACTTTTTCTTTTCCACTTCCGCCCAGATTTTCTGGTAAACAAACAAGAGCATGAGAGTCTGAGGCACGAAGATTATTAGTGTTGTCCAAGAAGAGGGAAAAAAATGAATAGGAAAAAAAACCCTTCCCTTTTCCTTTTATTACAACTTTGTAGTACAGCAAAGGTCAATTGTTCCATCAATTTACATGAACAGCTTCTAACTTAATTTTGTTCTCTCTTGTCATCTTCAACGCTTGACATTTCTATCCAATTAGGAAAAAACTGATGCAAAAGAGGAAACGCTGCGACAAGATGTCTAAACTATTTACAGACACAAAGATTAAGTAAAACTAGTTGTTTCACTCCTCTCAGTTTCACCCCAACCCTTTCTCTTCTCATCAAGGTGTGATGAGATAATCAGGAACCTTCATCTGAATATATAGTATGAAGGCATATGCAATTGCCTTTCCTACCCTCTCCAATTTTAAGTTGGGTTGGATTTTGTTAGGGGAAACAGAATTTCCTATGATAACTTCAGTTCTGTCAATCATGATGATCTTCGCCAGTGTTTCTTCCCTTTCTTCTGATGCAGCTTGAAGGGGCTCCAGCTCTTTCTGCGTCTTGAGGTTTCACAGAAGAGACCAGAGGCAAGAGCTTGCTGGAGCCACAGCTCAAAATCTTCATCTTCATCCAGCATCTCGGCATCCAAATCCCATGGATATCTGCTTGAGTTGGATCTCTGAGTCGTCTTCCCCAACCCAACCATGTTTACATGAAAGCTGGGCCGATGGGTATTAGGCCTACAAGTCATTCCCTGCATGGAAAATTTTTGATTTCTACAATATGTGGGATGAAATGGAAGTATAACAATGGCAAAAGAAGAAATCAGCTTTTAATTGTGTTGTAGTGAACGCCCTCACTCACCAACTTTTGGGTTACTAGATGGTCGCTCAATCTTACTTTTGGAGCTTATTGGTTTACAAATGACACTCCTTGCCTATTTGTAGGCATTCTCCCCATCTTTTATAGGGAGTTACTCTGCACAAATATCTACAACACTACAAAACTCCAATCATTCTAAAACCTTTTAAACACTCTACACGTATCCAAAAGCCCTCAAACACTCTAGAATCTTCTCTCTCCCTACAATAGTTCACCATCTCCACAAAACTCTTCATATATGCCATTCAAAGCCACATGTGGAGTCCTGCTCAGAGCTCGCGTGGTGCCTACATATCACTTTTTACACCCAGGGTCCCAATGGTCCCAGTATCCGAGCACTTTGGTTCATAACTGAATCGCATACAAGAACATAAATAGAAACTGCTTAAGACCCAAAAAATAATAAAAGTCCTTTCTTGGATGCTATCCTCCGTTTTTTCTTTTTTTCTTTTTTATTCTATTACAAATCCTCACAACTGAAAATAGATTCATTTGCTATCCTATTCAACATAAAATTAGAACAGTTACATGCTATAATAACATATATACCACTGACCTGACAAATTGCCCATTCTGACACATCAAAGATCTTGCTCTCAGCACAAACAAAAGCACGTGGTATTTCAACCTAACGACAAGAAAACCACTTAGCAAAATAAATACTGTGTGCAAATAGCAGCAGCACATCAAAGGACAAAAAAGGAATAGAACATTATTAGAAAAGATGCAATGTGACAAGCAGAATTTTCACTGTGCCACCAGAGTTGGAGCAAAAGGATCAAGTTGAATTTCCACCATAGGCATAAAAAAGTAAATAATGAGTAAAATGCACTTATCACAGCCCATCAAACAGAAAAGGAGTGGACACAGCATGAATGCACTAGTAAATAATAATAATAAACTTGAATTGGCATAAAGTAAAATATTTTATAGTTGTACCGGAGATAAAAACCAAAAGAACATGAATGAGGGAGAACAACCACGATGGATGAGAAAGAATGAAAGCTAGTAATCTTTTGAACCCTGGGAAGAAGCGCTAATATCTGAACAAGAAGATGTAGTCTATGTTACCTGGACTCAGGTACGTGTGTCGAGTGCGGGTATGCATCCAAGTGTTAGATATATTAAGCTTGCTAAATATTCATGTTATCTAATATTTTAATTTTAATTTATAGAATAAAATAATTTTATAGTGTTTATATAGGCATTTCACTCATTTTGAAGCGATAATATAATGAAATTCAATTAACTGGATATGCTTTATAGGTGCATGTCCAACCAAAAGTGTCGGAGACATATCTCATACCCACGTCCGAGTATGGTGTTTGTCCGACACGGTTACTTCAACTACATGGTATGTAGTTAGCATCGCATACAAGTTATAATTGAACCAAGCCTTGTCCAAACAATTTGCACTTGACTACATCAATCCATTTTGCTGTTCTACTTTATCAAAGGCCATAAGTTGAGTACAACAACATGCTATAAAAACTAACTTAACATCTCATCCCATATTTAATCATTCTCCTTCCTCTATTACCTGCAATGCAAACCATGTCACTCTTTTTTACTGGTGCAGGTCTTCACTTCACTAGGCCATTACTTACCTGGTAATCTCTTTTTCTTTTATCTTCATTAGGCTAATTCAACCATTTCACAAATATAACTATTTGTAACTTCATCTTTTCTCATCTTTTCACATGACCACATTTTAATCATGTTCATTTAAACATGTTCTTTTCTAAACACCCAACAATTTGTCCTGCAAAGCATGACTTTTCTACCTACCATCTTATAGAATTTACCCTTATGATTTTAATGGTACAAATTAATTGCATTAAATGTTAGAAGCACTCATCCATTATCCTACCTTCTCTAATTCAATGAGCAACGTCATCTCTAAGAGAATAATTGAGCCTGAGTAACAAAATTCTTCACTTTTTGGCATCTCTTGATTCTTAATCCTCACAATTCCCCTACTCGGATTTCTTCTTTTATCTTCATTAGTTTTTCGTTCAACCATTACAAGAATGTTACCAAATCTAAATTGTTACTCATCAATTGTCATGCAACATAACCTTAGAGGGTGGATCCTAAATAATGCTAGGTGAGAACCTAGATTCTTCCACTTCTTTTTCTTTACCATTCATGGATTATTATTCACAACCCATGAATAATTTACATTTCATTCTTGAAATCTGTACGAAACAGTGATGAAACCAGAAAATTATCTGTTTGAGATGGAGGAGACCTTGAATAACAAAAAGATATAAAAAAGATTCATATAACCATAATAGGGGGCTATATTAAAAATTCAGCGAGGGCATTACTAGAATTTTAGAAAAATTCTAAGTGTTCAATATATATATATATATAATACATAAATAAATCCAATGGGGGTGGACGCCCTCATTTGCAAGGGCGGAGGTAGCGAAAATCGAAAAAGTAACACAAAGAATGATAGAGTAAAACAATATCAACAACATATAAATAACCGTAATATACCCACGAGTGTGTTTGTGTGTGAAATTTAGAGAAGAAAATTCATATAAAGTAAATATGTGATTAATTATCATTAAGGCAAAAGTGTAAAAAATCCCCCCTAAGGTTTCACCAAGTGAGCACAATACCCCCCATGGTATAAATGTGAGCAACTCAGTCCCTATAGTTTCAAAAGTGAGCAACTTGCCCCATTGGATTTCCCTTCTGACCACTTTCCGTTTGATGTCATTGTGTATTTATCAAACTACCCCTTATAATTAATTTTTTTTTTTTTAAAGTAAATAATATAAAAGACTATATCTTAAATGCCCTCTATAATAACCTAAGGCATTACATGATCCTAAATTGACTCAAGTGTTGTAACTCCTCATGTGGGCCTCCGCCTAGATTATGTGAACTCTAGCCGAATGGGTTTCCTACTCAATTCAAAACTGCCTAGAATAGAGAGAACATGCAAATGAAAAAAAAAAGAAAAGGTTCAGGACGTGTAAGTTGCATGAGTTTGTATCAATGGGTATCGGATATATCTTGTGAGTGTAACCATTTATATATGCAAGCGTTTAGTTAGTTTTGCTAAGTTAATTAATATATAATTATTAAAGTTTTGCTTGTGAGTTGGTACTGGATGTATGCTTGTATTGTGATTATCAATCATGTTATTTGGATATGTTTAATAATATAATAAAAGTTATTAAAATTTAAGCAATTATTGATAGCTGGAGTGATAATTGTTGAACATATTTATAATAGTGTGACGACCCATGCATCTAAAATTTAAAATGTTATTATTATTATTATTATTATTATTAGTGATAAAGTAACACTTGTATCACCTGTCATTTTGGTTCATGTCCATCTGGTGCTAGATTTAGGTTGAACATGGTAAATTGGAACGATCCTTTCAGTGCCAGCTTCAGGTTGGATCATCCTGATTATACATATAATGACACACACACACACACATATTTAAATGTTTAAATGAACTGACCTTGGAGGAAGAGCATAGAGAGCAGATGCAAATGGAAAGAAGAGAGCAAAAATGGGTTTGCCTGGAACAAAGGAATGCAAAAGCCTTTTTATAGGAAGATGGGGTATAACAGTCATATTGGAGGGTACTTTCGGGATTAATAAAAAAGTATCAATAATGTGTATCACAAAAGGACTGAAAGTGGCAGAGGTGAAATGTAAGGGGGCAAGTTGCTCACTTTTGAAACTACAAGGACTGAGTTGCTCACTTTTATACCACGGGGTGTTGTGCTCACTTGGTGAAACATCAGGGTGTTTTTTTTTTTTTTTTTTTTTTTTTTTTTTTTTTTTTTTTGCACTATTGCCTATCATTAACAATGTCTATGAAAAAAAAATCAGAACAGGGATGGACAAACTTCGTTAAGGAGACGTCTATCATAAATATGTGATTTACTATTCATTAAAAAAAATCTTTATAAGAAGTAAGAAAGTATATGGGCACACAAATTAACTAATTATTAAAAATTGTATATAAAGTAATTAGTATATATCATATTCATTAAAAAGTGTGTAAAAAATTAAACAATGTTATTGACATTATAGTAGCATAGACTCCACCAAAACTTCAAAATAATTACCATCCTTAATTTCAAACAACCATAGAATCCTGGCAGCCTGTTTATTTTCAAAACCAAGCCAATTCCAACTCCTTTCCATCCACAAGTTCTGCATATTCTTTTTTTTTTTTTTTTTTTTTTTTTGTGATAAGTTTGCATATTCTATTTTATTTTTTAAACTCTAAACTAACAAGCTTTTCTTGACCATAGTATAACATATATGAATTTAGGGCTATTTTAAGTTTTCTAGTGGTGTCCTACATTAGTTTTGTATCAAAAGCATACATAAGTTTCAATTCTACGCAACAGTATTCCAAATTTCATAAAGCTCTCCTACAAAACTTTGGTATCAGAGCTGAAGATTCTCTTTTCATCCCCATCAATCATTTGAATAGCGAGGAAGACTCAACTGAATTCTAAGAGTGGAGCTTTATCTCAAATTTATAAGAGTACATGAAGATATTGGATCGGATAATGACTATAATATGTTAAAGTATAATATGTTAAAGCATCTATAGCCACAATGACTTCACTAAAGACTACTTTGTAGACTACTGCAACTGCTCTTTGGAAGAAGAATTCCATTATTGAATCAAGAGCCTGTTAAAAACTCCAATAAAGCCAATGCAAAGGATGAGAGCTTAGGATTTTAATTCTAAACAAGGGTGTTTTTTATTTGCAAGCTATTTCTGGATAGAGTAAACAGTGTTTGGAATTTCACATGGAACTTGCTTTTGACATATAATTGAGCTTTTTGGTTGAGTGAAGTCCTACTTTGAACAAGTTTTATGTTAATATGGTACTGACTCATTAATTTGTTATTATGCTTTAAGAATCAAGTAATCGTTGGATATAGACTTGGATCAAGTTATGGTATCTTGATCATTCCAATATTCCATGTGGTAGCAGGACAAGATAGTCTTAGTAGTCAAAAGGTTTCTAACAACGTATAGATATCCATCTAACATGTATTTTGATTTGATGCAAGCCAGTAATAGAAAATTAATGTTTTCTACTGCCCTTCTACGTTAATTTGGCTATCAACTTTTCAAGTTTCCAAAACCAAAGACAATTTCAATTGTAAATAAGTAAAAAAACTTATAAATTCAAGTATTCCTGGGAAGAAATAAACCTTTTGAGGCCGATCAAAGACAAGTGAGCCTTTATATTCAACCCATCCATCCCCATCACTAGCTTGATGATACTGACGGCAATCCTGAATTAAACACAAGTTTTATAATTGTATAACAATAAGATTCAGACATTATGCTAGTACCAACAAGATAGAGAGAGAGAGGGAGAGAAAGAGAGAACATCTAACAAATAAATTCAAAAGAAGCCCAACCTGACACCATCTTGCCTTCATCTTAGTCCTATTGGTGCAAACCCAAATATGTGAATTGCCACATTTCGTGCACTGTATACGCCTCGACTCTTCAGACAAATAATCAGGACTATCCTGCTTATAATACAGATATAGAATAGAACAATATTTCCATAATTTCATGAATCAGCAAGAGAAATTAAAGTTCTTCAGATATTTAGTCCATTTCAAATTCCTGGGGGGAAAAGAAGAAGAAATACATTTTTTTTTTGTTCATGAAGTCAATCAAATAAATATTTGTTTAATGGAGATGCTATCAGAGCTATTTTATGATACTAAAGTGAAGATTTCTATGAAAAAAAAACATCTCACCATTCATATGTTGCTTCAAATATACAAGTTTCTCAATAAAACCCAAAACCTGAATACCCCTAGTTCATTCATTAATTGACACTGCTGTTTTGCTTCAAACTCATACTTCTAATAGATACTTGGAACTAAAAAAGTCTAGTAGAAAAGAACAACAAACAGAGTTCCAAAAAAATAAAAAAAGGAAAAAAAGAAAGGAAGAATATGGTTTAATAAGTTTTAGTTGTCAATGTTATCTTTTAAGTTCAAAATCAACAGAGCTTATATTTGAAGAGAAAATATCGTGATTCTCTAATAATTTTGAGTTTTATTACCAATAAATATAATTTTATGATTTCAAAAACCCGAATTCAGATTGAATGTAAAACCTGCAACTAAGCCTACAAGCCAAACCACATAAATACCTGACATGAAGTATTATTCGACTTCTGAGAGACACTTCTAACTTCTTCCTTTCTCAGTTGCTCATCATAATCTCTCTTCTTTGTAGAATCAGAAAGAACCTGAAGGTTTATGCCATTATAATATGCAGAGAGTACCACAATCATAAGTTTCATTTCAGACATCCATAAAATACCAACAAAATATTTCAAAAGATAAGTAAGCCAACCCCATAAGAGGGATTGAACCAATTACAAGGAATGGATAAGTACCTCATATGCACATTGAAGTTTTTTAAATGAATCACTTGCTAGTGGGCTTCCCATATTTTTATCAGGGTGCACAAGCATGGCCTAACCGGGAAAAAAAGGAGGACAAAATTAATCATATACCACTAAATAAATAAAACAATGAAAGAGAAAGAAAACAGAGAAATCACAGAAATGAAAAAAAAAAAATTAATAAACAAGGAATACCGATAGATGAAATTTTAAATTCCAACCACCTGCAATCTATACAATCACTTCATTGATAAACTGTGATTCTAAAGCAAAATCAGAACCCATTTGATTCTACGATACGCAACTTTAGTGCCCCCAGAATTTTGTGAAGTAAGGAACGAAGCTTAAGCTAGAGGAATCAAATTTAGAATGGATTTAGAACTTTCTACACTGGTTAAGAGTCGCCACCTATCATTGATTGAAATGAAAAATAGTGACAGAATTTTTGGAAACCTTTTTTAAGAATATACTTGAGGCAAGCTGCTATAAGAAAACAAAAAATGTTTTTTCCCTGTCTTTCAGGAATCACAAGCTTTTTAAAGAATTAAAACTAAAATTGATATTGAGAACAATACGTTTCTAAGGACCTCTGTGATAGCCATTTCAATTTTAGTTATAATTCCCGAGTATTTTAAAAATTGAATACAACTAAAAATGTTGACAACACTACCATTTAGGGGCCGCTTTCACTTTTTGATGGACCCTAACTATTAAAAAGTTCACCATTCTATGATAGGCTTTTATTTTTTTTAGAAAATTATTTCAAAAACTATTTAGAAAGCACTCCAGAACAGTTTTCTTACCACCAATTTCTCTGAACCCAGAAATAGGAGGCTCCTAAGTCCTACTTGGTATATCCAACAATCAAAATGTACACTACGAACATCCAACAGGTTGTTTGTCCTTCACCAAATATGCCACAAGGAAGTCATCAAGGCAAATGGGAACAGTATTTCAAATTAGAGAAAAATGAATTCCTATAATCTCATCCTGCACACTTCCTGTAAAAATGAACAATAAGGAAACATCATATGCATGCAAACAACTCAAATTAGCGTACCTTTTTCCGGTATTCCTTCTTCAACAAAGTAGCATCAATTTTCTTATGCCGAGGAAATCCCAGCGCTTCATAGTGATCCATACAACTTAAAATCCGTTTCATCTCATTGATTGAATTTGCATCTTCTTTGACTACTGGCTTAGCCGAAGATTCTTTTTGGTTTTTGACAAAAGATGAAGTAGAAGCTGTTTTGCTAGATGATTTGCATGAGTGCAATTTTTCAGCTTCATCAGTCGGAAGAGTATATTCATACTCCCCAGAAAGGTCATCTTCTGTGAATGAGTCTGACTCTTTGTGCTCTTCAGAGCGTGTGCTTTCATTCAAATTATCACACCATTGAAGCAAATAGTTGAGAACATCATTAGATAAGAATGCAAGATTTATCGAGAGAAAAACTCCATGCCACCCAACTCGAACTTTGACACAATAGATAGCATATGCTGTTGCCATGAAGACCACCAATCGAGCATGATTTAAGGAAAACAAATAGCCTGCATTGTCAAAAAAAAAGAAGATATTTCAGCAACGAGAGTTGCAGCAGGCTTGGGGAAAGATTAAGGACCACCAAACATGTACAAGTTCTACAGTGTTTATGGCAAATATGTGAAGATTAAGAATAATGATAACAGCAATAATAGAAAATTAATAATAATAACAATAACAATAATAATGATGATGGTGATGATAAATACTTGAACAAATTGGATTTTGTTTTCCAAGAGCCTCACACAAGCATAAAGGAACTTCCAGAACTAAAACTATACAACAATAAACTTACGGATTTTAATTCAATTAATTGCCTACAAAATGCATAAGAATTTGTTTATATGGAGCCTAAATGAATTTATTCTCATGAAGGCATCTCCAGACTAATGCCACAATCGGATAGAAGTTTTAAATTTTCCATCAAAGGCAGCCTAAAACTTAGAGCCGTGCACCCAACAGTGCTTCGTAAATTAAGTAGATCTATTTTCCTATGTTTAAGGATTATTCAATTTCTTGGCTTATCGGCTATTTAAATGATTACACTTCTATTTCTCTCCCCTCTACTTGTGTTCAAGAATTATCCCCGTTACACCACCTATCTGATAATTCAAATTCTGTTTGAGGTTTGGTCTGTTTATTCTGCCTTTACAGAATATCTAACATACTCTCCTTTCAGCCGTTGCAATCCTGAAACTTTTTTGACCTTACAAATATTTGCTTCAAAGCAACCAAAAGATTACTTTTACATAAGAAAATCCAGTAAAAATGTGTTTTTGATCATTTAATGGATTTTGCATAATATTTTAAGGTGTTTTAACATCAATAATGGCCTATAAATGAAATTTTAAGCCTTCACCAACACTGAAGCTTACTATTTTGCAATTGTCATTTATTTTTGGGCTATAGATGCATTTGAATTATATCGTTAATAAGTCATGTAAAGGGTACAATGTCAAGGCCTTTGAGTTTTGTTGATGATGTTGGTTATTCTTGATGCAGATTGGATGGGTGATCAGATGTCTAAAGATAAGTTTCTGAGTATTGCACATTTATATCTATAACTTGGTTACATGGAAGAGCAAAAAGTAGGCGACAAAGTTAAATAGAGATCTATAGCTCACACAGCTTGTGAGAAGATTTGGGTTGTTAAATAACTTTTGCATGAGATGGGTCACTATTGATACACTGATGATGTTTTGAGATGATCAAGTCACTACATATATTGCTTGTGATCTAATACTCCATGAGAGAACCAAAGATATAGAGGTAGTATTGTCATCTTATTCAAGATTTAGTGATAAGAAAGAAGAATGTTATAGCCATTATTAAGTCCAAATATCAGTTAATTAATTTGTTTTCTTAAGCTGTAGGAAAACGCTTTTTTTGGGTTATGTCCTGTTATTTTAGTTTTTTTGTTGGCAAATTTCAGTTATAAAACCAAAAAAATCAAGTTGTCATTTTTTTATTTTAGACCTTAAGTCCTGTTCAAACATTTCAAGTTCAAGTTGTGTTCAAGAATTGAAGTCAAGCCTCAACAAAATGACCACACACTTGGGAACAAGTAATTGAGTGATTGTGAGGACACAAACATGTTCAAAAAACTTGGCCTTACATAAAATTAGTTTTGAGTTCCACTTCTTGCTCTGAAAATTTAGAAATACTTAATCGAAAGCTGGTTTGGTTGGTCCAACCAAGAAAGGCATGGGTGTCTTGGGACATTGCTTGGGCCGAATTAAGTAGACTAGCTACCTACGAAGATCAGTCAATGGACTCTTTATATATATATATATATATATGAAGATTAGCTACCTACGAAGATCAGTCAATGGACTCTTTTTATATATATATATATACATGAAGATTAGCTACCTACGAAGATCAGTCAATGGACTCTTTATATATATATATATATATATTTCATCATCCTATCAAAGACATCCATATCTGCCCTTCTTTTTGAAGCAACTTTCGCAAAATTAAGACAATTGATTTGTTTTCGAAGATTATAGTTTATGACAGTAAGCATATGCATTAGTTGATGTGTAAATACAGTGTAATATGCATCAGTTGATGATGTATAAAGTGGTCGAGCCACATAATAACAAGACACAACTTTTTTTGTTTTTTTTTTATTTTTTATTTTTATAACTTTTAAAATTTGCAAACATGCCCTCACTTCAAAATATATACTACCTCTGTCCCACATATTAGTAATCCACTATTCCATTTTTAGATGTTCCAAATTAGTTGTCCTCTTAGAAAAGTCAAAGCAAATAAATGTCATCTTTCCATTATTGCCCTTTATATTTTCAAAAAAATTCAAACTTGGTAATATATATATATATATATAAACTAAAAAAGGACAAATTGGTAATTTTAAAAGGGGACAATGCATTAATTGCATGTCCCCTTAAAAACTCTAAAAACAAAATATGGACATCTAGTATGGGACGGATGGAGTGTATATATATATATATATATGTATAAAAGAAACGAGTCTTAACCACTTCAGCCTTTTCTTTTTATCAGTTTCTCTCTTTCACAAACTCTCTTTGTCTATCATTTTCCCACAACCAACATCTAATTCATCTCCTCCACTTTAGCCATTAGCATCTCTCTTTTGAACTCTCACTCAATCTTTTTCCAAGGCGGAAATGCAAAGAAAATTTATAGAAGTCTTCTAAGCCAATACTTAAAAAAAAACCCTAATACCCTCTTTTCACCCAATCTTACTCTTTCTGCAGAGTAGAAATTTCATTTTAGAAAACAAAATAAAGGGGTATATTTGTAGGGATCAATTAGTGCTAGCCACGTGGTACGTTGAAAAGTCAAAAGTAAGCCCACTTGGCACCCAACCACAGCACACGTCGACAAACACGTGTCCCGTTGAAAAGACGGCAAAACAGATCAAAGGACCTTGTCAGGTCACCATAATCGCCAGAACTTGATTTCTAAAAGAAAACACAAGCATACACAGCTAGGTTACTAGACCTCGACAATATAATTCTCAAGTACATAAAAATCCCTAGAATATACTAGGTCACCAAATATCGACGATATAATTCTCTACATAAAAAACCCTAGCATACACGACTAGATCACTACTCAACAATGCAACTCTAGAGTATAAAGAAAATCCTAGTATATGTCTTGAAGATCTACTAACAAATGCCAAGTCATCAAGCCTCGAGGGCACGATGCCCGAGCACAAGAAGAAAACCCTAACACCGAAGTTGGGCCTATGAAGACACTCTAAAGTGATTGGTGAAACCCGATGCCTCGACAAAGACCCTTACAATCACATTTAATGCTCTGATGAGAGTCATTAATGTTTACAACTATTGCCGCTATCTAGGCACCGAATGCATTTAATGCTTGTATTAAGATCAACACGCCATGCCAAAACAGAGGCATGGCTTGATGGGAACTGTTATGTGTCTAAACCTATCATGACCTAAACATAGTAGGTCCCAGGTAAAGACTGGAACCTCTCGAGGACCAATGGGTAATGACCAATGGCATCATATTATAATTAGCACCATTAGAAGAAGCATTAAAGGCATAACAACTAAGCCTTACACTTACAGACAGAGGGAAAACCGGAATATCACTTTGGCTAGTCTACTCCTCCTCCTTCATCCAGAAACCTCTCTGGGTTCCCTCACATTTGTATTTTGGTATCTCTATTATTCTGTCTTATTTTATATTGTAACAGTTAAGAACCCATACAATATTCATAATTTCCTTCTCTTTAGTAGTAACATATATAGTAGAGGAACTGAACCCTATATAAGATTATGCTCCCTTTCTCAGTTCATTTCTTCCTACCATATAGGTACTTATGCACATATAGGTATCTCTGAACAATCTTCACAAAGGATAATGCGAACTCCTTTGGACACAGGAAGAAGGTATGCAAGAAAAAAAGTGAAAATAAAGGAACAAACAATAAATGATGTCTCTAAAATATCCATATTTAAGTTGAGAAAGAAACCTTGACATACCTCCAACGATAAATAATGTACCCGTTATCCAAAAGTTAGCATACATCCATAAAATTAAAATAGCAAACAGCCCTACAATAAAAACTCCAGGAGTGTAACCTAGGTACTGAACCGCAGCTCCAGCAGCTCCCTGAAATAACAGATGCAATTGTTAATGCCATAGTTCTTTTGTTGGTAAAAAAATGTATTTGGCAAGAAGAAATCCAATCTAAAAGGAGGAAAGTAAAACATTCCTATTAGCATACCAAAAAGTGAACTCTAACAAAAGAAAGGACAAAGATAAGTACCGAGTTGAAGAAATAGAGTAGCTAAACAGATAATGGCATTGACTGCAATGCTGGCCTTATTCATCCAAACCTTTAAATCCATTCTGGCTACTGATTTTAGTGAACTTAAAATTTATTTCTTCCATCTTTTCATTTACATAAATCTACACTGCTAACATCTATCAATTAGTAGGGAAAGAGATCCTGTGCAAATATTAGGAACCCAAAAGAGAATTTCTACATGTAACTATTAACTAGAAAGGGTTACCAATTTATGATTTTTTTTCTCCTGTGCAAATATTAGGAACCCAAAAGAGAATTTCTACGTGTAACTATTAACTAGAAAGGGTTACCAATTTATGATTTTTTTTCCAGGAAAAAAATAAAATAAAATAAAAAGGGGGAAAGTACAGAAAGGAAACGGAATCATTTCATACTGAAAGTTGGGAAAATAACTTGTTACATATTCAATTCCCAAAATTTTCCTTCCCCTAACAAAGTCCCATATTTTGGGGATGTCATTTTCAAGGATTTCCTTGAAAATTTCTGAAAGAATTTAGACAATACAAATTCATCACAAAACTGACCAATTTAAAAGCTAATGATTTATTACTCTAAGGACTAATTTTGATCAATACATGTTTAGTCCATGGACATCTACAGGTCCAAATAAATCTTGTGTTTCCTATCACCAATTCAATCACAAAACTAGGAAACCATAATAAGTGAGGAGTACAGCTATGCATCTAAACAAGTAAATTTGGAATTCAAACCAAGTAGATGTAATCACATTACAAGCACCTAATGCCCACAGGCAGTAATTATTAATTACATATTACTATATAATGATGGCTTTAGCCTTTGAGCATTACAATCATTGTTTTACACGGGATCTTATTCATCCGCTGTCATAATTGTTTTACACAGGATTTTATTTATTCCCCTTGCGCCCGCCCCCCCCCCCCCCCCCCAAAGTATATTTCTAGACAAAGAGGATCAAAGAAGCAAGAGATGCTTAGTCGTCATACATCACATCATTTGTAACACTTTGGTGGACTTTTATGACTTTATTTATAAGCATTTACATTTCGAAAAGAACAGCCATACAAATCCAATGATGGACCTGATGATAGGATTGATGCCAAATATTAGATCAAATCTAAATGGTTTCCTTTCGTTGCAGCATCAAACCCACCGTTGTGCTATATTGAACAAACAAGTCCATCTAACTGCTAGTAATGAAAAGGCAGATCATGAAATTTTAAGAAGAAAAAAAAAAATATATATATATATATATATATAGCAAAAAAATGAAGAAAGGAACCATATGCCCTCAACAGCAATCAAGCACAAAATATTTAAGAAGTAAGAATTATAATTTGGAGGCATACCATACTAAGAAGCACATAAAGTAGGCAAGACATTGAAGTCAAACTAAGAAAGCAACTCCACATTATAACAAGCAGAGCCGCTGAACCCAGCCGAACAAAAGACCGAGCTCCCCGAACAACACAGTCCCTCCAATAAATCAACAACATGTGCAGAAACCTCCCCACTCTTGCAAATCCATTGCAAACAATGGGCCAATGACGCTCCATAAAAATCCCAATTTTGTCCCTGAAACAGGTTGCCGCTGTCCGCACAACTGAGTAACAATGCCTCTTCGACTGTAACCATTTCCATCCTTGCTTGAATAACCCAATATCCTCCATCACTTAAAGCCTTAAGATTAAGATTTGCCTTGGACAATCTAGTTGAATTACAGCTGAATAACTGAATAAATTAGTTCAGTCTAAACCTGTATGGTGAAAACCTGTGCTTTCATCAACTTTTGACAGAACCCGCTATCGGAACCCATCAATTTGATTCAAGAACTGTGTATAACTCCAGAACTGCAATGTTAAGACCTCAACAGCACCCATGGTGAGAGCTTTTGATCTGCCAAAATTGGGAATAAGTCTCAGTGTCTCACTTAAGCAGAGAGATTAGAGAAGTTCCAAGTCAAAGGCTCTCAGAGCAACAAATATTCAGAAATAAGGAGAAGGAGATCCAGAATCCTCCATCTTAACTCTGTAAAAAAGTTGGCATTCGATGAATTGAACAGTTAGAGATCATGAAAAACACTAAATTGCTTCACATGTACGTTTTCCAGAAAAGTAACTCAAATAATTCCACTTTTTGACATCAACAATAACATTTACTTTTTCCAGTTTATCAATTTCGGTGGATATGATGTGGTCTGTTCACATGTTTCATCTCAAACACCATAGAAAGAAAAGCAAAGCAAATGGATGGTATACATACATGTAATATTATATATATATATATATATATATATATATAGGAATTAAAATCAGACCTGAGGGATTATACAATGGCGAATAAGAAGGAAGTGCCGACAAGTCTTGGCTTGGGTCTTCAAAACTGAGAAAGAAAAGAAAGTGTCTTTAATGGATTCCGTCAGAGAAGCTTGAGCAATCTTGAGTCTTGACCTTTTGTGTAGTGAAACCCTAGCTTTTACAGGGAATGCTCGTGAAAAAGAAAGAAAGGTTGAAAAGTTTCACAAAGCTAGAGAGAGAGAGAGAACAGTGACTATGAGAGAGAATATACAAATATATATATATATATATATATGAGAGAGAGAGGGGCATTTACTTGTGGATTAGGGTTAAGGTTGGGAAATAATGATGCGGTGGGACCCATTATTGTTCAATTAATTAAAGACTGGTGGTTCCACTAGGGGTCCCAATAGTTTGTACAGCTGGCGGGGGTTATTTGATTATACTCTCTGCAGTTACAATAGTACCAGTTAATTCTCCAACAAGGCAGCTAGCTACTCCAGCTACTCAACAAATGTCTAACCGGCCCTTTTTATTGGTCGTCAATCATGATATTTTGTCTTGTTCAAGAGAATGAATGGAGTCCAGACATAAATTCTCTTCCTCTACTTTTTCTTCCCTCACTTATTGTAAAAAAAAAAAAATCATTAAATTTATTTCATTTTATATGGCAACTTTTAAATTTATCTCTAATGCTAACTTTCTTTATATACATATTTATTTATTTGTTCATAGACTTAAACCCTCATTTTGTTTTTTGTTTTTTTTTTTTTTTAAGAGAAAGAGGTATATCATTAGGCTTTCATCCTGTATCCTAAATGCTACTAGTATTTAGTATTTCAAACATCAACAATTCATGAATTTCATTTTTTTTTTAATCCTAATGGTATACTTTATTGTCTTTTAGTAAAAAAAATCAGTGTACTATAAATATATTACTTATGAAATTGAAATATATGGTATCTTCGGTAAGAAAGAAAGATGGGTAGGAAAAAAATAAAAAGGAATTAACAAATTTTTTTTATTCGGTAGAAATGATATAAGGAAATAAATAATAATAGGAAGGATGGATCCTTCACAAATTTTCATTCATCCCAAATATAAGCAGAAGATAGGAGAAAAGACAAGTAAATCTATTATAGAAGTCTTAAATTACTACATCACCCTTTATAAATATTTAATAAATTTTATAAATAAAGTAGTGATGGTTTAATGGTAAAAACTACTTAAAAAATTATCTTTCTTTTTATTTTACAGGTCAAATTAAGTTTTTTCCATTCTATCACATCCAACCGAACAAAAATAGAGAAACACTTAATCTCTTCCCTAAGATGTTTTAGTCATCCCTTCATCTGTCTCTTCCATTAAATTGTATAAGAGTATAAGAGGACCGACATTAAATTTATTTCATTTTATATGGCAACTTTTGAATTTATCTCCATGTTAACTTTCTTTATATACATATTTATTTATTTGTGCATAGACTTAAACCCTCAATTTTTTTTATTTTAAGAGAAAGAGGTATATCATTAGGATTTCATCGTGCATTCTAAATGCTATTTAGTATTTCAAACTTCAACAATTCATGAATTTCATATTTTTTTTTATCGTAATGGTTTACTTTATTGTCTTTTAGTAAAAAAATAAAAGAAAAGTTCGGTGTACTATAAATATATTCCATCTGTCCCAAAAAAAAAAAAAATGCATATTTTTACTTTTTAAATTATCCAAAAATAATTGTTCACTTTTCTTTTTCAAACGATATATTTTACATCTTTCCATATATATTTTTTGAGTTTAAAATTTCAAACTTCAATATTCAAAACTTAAAAAGGCAAGTTAATAATTTTCAAGAGACAATACATAGCTCACATGACTCCTTAAAATTTATAATCTTCAAAAAGAACATTTTATTTGGGACAAAAGGAGTATTATTTATGAAATTGAAATATTAAGAGTTGTAGTTTAGTTTAAATGTTTACTTTAAATTAACAACGTAGATTGTGATGTAATCAGGAAATTGTATAAGAGGGGATGATTATGACTATCAAAAATATATAATAGATTATTATCAAAAATTGATTGAGATATTTTTCAAATTTTTAAATATATATATAAATAAAAAATTCAGTAAGCGCGGGCGGTTGTCTCTACTGATCTTAAGAAGTCCCTCCCCCTAAACATTCAAGTATGCCTAGACAAAGCACCATGATGAGAGGGAGTGAGGGAATAACTCATATATTTAGGAGAGGAAGCATCATTCATGGGAGAGGGGACACAGTTGGTCATCAATTCAGATTTAGGTCTGGGCAAAGGTCTCAAAGAACCAAATCCTTTATTAGTCAAAAGAATAATCTCAAGTCATGGTGGACTTGATTTAGGTTAAATCTTCATCATAAATGGAACCCCACCGGAATTGAACTTCTGTTTTCAAATGTAGAAAATGAGAAATTGGAATTCATAGCCCATGAGATATCACAGAATTAGATGCAGTGTCAGTTAAAAGAGTCAACTCCAATAAAGGTTAATAGTTTGTAAAAGATTTTCCTCCTACTGTTAACTGTCAACAAAGCATCCATTAAATTGTAAAATACAAGATTTGCCTCTTTTACTTTAACACTATTTTTTTAGTTAAATAATATAATAGTAACTGTTGGGGGCAAAAAGATTTTTGCAGGACTATATAATTTACTTAACAAAAATAAAATATTTAACCCTCCTTCCTACAAAATGTGTTTACCTTTTAAATTTTGACTATCTTAAAATAATTATCTCAATTCAAAATTTAGACTCGTTTGTTTGAGTATAAAATATTTTTTGAAAAATATTTTTCGTATTTTTTTTATGTTTGGTTGTTATAAAATATTTAAGAAGAAAAAAAAATTAAAACTTAATAAAAATAACTTATTTATCAATTTTAGACAAATTATTTTACACTCCTTACCGAATGGACTCGACCTCCGGCATGACTTAGACCTTTGCCAAACACAAAAAAATAATAATAATAGTATATTACTTTTTTTAATATTTATAATTTATCTCATTGTCTTGAAGTTATAAAAGTATGAAGACACCACCACTGTATAATTGAAAATCATTCCCATCCCACTATAATACGGAGTAAAAAATATTAAAAATAACACTCTTACAAAATTATATTTTAAAAAAAAATTATTTTTTTGTGGGATAGAGGAACAAAGTACAGAATATATAATAGTGACTCTCTAATACATTCAATAAAATTTCCAGCAGGAAAGTTCAGAGTGATATTTAAAATTAACAAGTAAAATTCGTATAATGCTATAACTCAAGGGAGGTGAATATAATAACTTAAGCCCTATTTGTGCCTCCTATCATTTCCTTATGGGTGCAAGGGTTACTATATATATATATATATATATATATATATATATATATATATATATTTGTTTAGGGTAGAAGTGTTAAAAGTTATATTAGTAGATGCAGAGAATCAAATTCTGACACTCTAAAATTTACCAGAGATACTAATTCACGGGACTATCGAGACATTTGCAAGGGTTACTTCTGTTTACTTGAGCCATATTCCAAATTATATTATCAAATACACTCTAATCACGCTGAATTGCATTATCAAACAACACCTTGACCAAATGCTCGTAAAGCACCTCCACCAAATATATATTGCACGAACACCTTAAATTAAATCAAAATTCCCTGCTTGAATAGAATTAGGACTGATTATTATTTTTTATTTTTTCAGTTTGTTGAAAGTCAAGTTAAAAGGAAGAATAACTTGTAATTTCTTTTTATTTATTTATTTATTATTATTTCTCTCGATTTCTCTCGTACATCTTGGTAACCAATGAAAGAAAAATATACCATTGGATCACATTTACGGGAAAATTAATATACCATTAGAAACACTATGGAGTTGTTTTTCTGCTGCGTAGTCTGAACTGATTATGCTTAAAACGAAGGCTTATTAATTCCAACTATCTACTCAAAGTTAAAAGTATCAATAAAATAAATAAATAAAACACACATTATCAAATGAAAAATAAATGAAAACCAGTGAAAAGGTAATTGGAGGAGAGTTCAAAGTTCAAACCCATAACACAGATTTTCTTTCAAGTTGAAACTATGCACATTTTACATTTACTAAACTATGAAGTGAGCAAAATTTATGCTAAAATAGCTAACAAGCCTCACAAATCTAAAAAGTTATAAATAAATTTATATTTTCTCTCTCTCTCTCTCTCTCATTTGAATCATTTCAAATGGTCTGGTCGCAGATGGCAGTAAAGGTAAAGGTTGCACAGGTTGAGGTTCCTGATGACAAGGTTGAATTGTCTTGGTTGTCAGAGCCAGGAGATACATTATTAGAAATATTGTTGTTTAATATTTCTGGGTAATCTTTAGGGGTGCTTCTAACTTTGAGGTCCATGAGATCAGAGATTAGGCCTGGCTTTGTTATTGTGTTGTCATCGACTTCCTTCTCACCGGTTAGCATCTTCACCACAGTTGACATGGATGGCCGAAGCTTTGGACTGTCTTGGGTGCAGAGGAGACCAATTTTCAAGAATCTGCAGGCCTCTTCAGCATCAAAATCCCCGTTCAATGCAGCGTCTACCAGCACCAACAATTCCCTTCGCTCATGAAGCTCCCATGTCTGCAACAAGAGAATCCACACTTGTAAATGGTGTTGAAGAAATTGATTCAAGTGCTAAACTCTGATGTTATACAACAAGTAGTTCAACAGAACAAAAAGCAATGCTGTTTGTTGTGTTTTGTGAGATTACTGTTTTTTGTTTGTTTGTTTGTACATAATGTAGCATTCCTTTCTTTTTCCTAAATAATATTGTAGCATTCCAATCTCCACATTCGATAATCTGCCTAATCAAATTACTGAAACCATATGAAAACCGAATTTCTTGAGGGTCTTGAAAAGATGCTAGATGTTGGATGAATATAAAAAGTATAGATCAAATTATTGGTGACTGGTGAGATCATCAAAGTTGGCCAAAAGAAAAAGAAAAGAGAGAGACTACTATTAGCAAAGAATCCAATGCTTGAAATTAACCTGTTTCTGATAATTCAGCAGTAGAGGAAACAATTTTTTTTTTTTTTTTTGGAAGGTAAGTAAAGAAAAGATTTGTGCCTTCAATTCTGACAGAAAACATAAGGATTTCATTTCAAGGGAATACATGCCCTCAAATAACTATATATATTTTTTTCTTGAATAATTATTTCAGTGTTGTGTATATATAGATTACTATAATACTATGTGCAACAGTTTTCCAATTTCAATGTCTATTACACATGAAAACCAATCATCTTATACCAACACAAGTTCCTTTCATAATTCAAAGACAAACAGGAAAAGAAGAAGAATCAACTTTCCATTAATTACTTCATTTATGAAGTTCATAATGTTGGAAATACATGTCCATTTGAGACAAAATAAGCAGATCATATATAAAATGTTTGAATCTTCGACCCTAAAAGTGCAATAAGGTGTTGGGAAATGGTCGAAGTAGTTGAATAGGAGGATCACTATGACCATAACCCTTTATAAATTTACTAAAGATGATGATGATTATTTATTCAAAATTATGATTGGTTACAAAGAGAAGGTTTCATTTTTGTAGGTTGATCTGGTCTATTGCTCTTCCCTTGTGCCTAAGGAGTTGGTTCACAGGTACAACCTTTGTAACTTCATGATTCATGGATTGACCGGTTCCTATTTGGAAGGCAAATTCTTTTAATTCTCAGCGTCTACTCCTGCTAATAGTTTGGCACTATACCAAGAGAAAAACAGTATCCTTTTATAAGGTCGATCTCTATCACTTGATCAAAACGTTATTGTTTATTATTAAAAGGCAAACAGGGTTCATCAAATGATAAATAGAAAATACCATGCCACACTCTTTGCAAACATGGATATCATGAATCGAGGAGTCACAGCTCAGTCATCCACAAGCATCACTGAACATGCAGTCACCATTTCATGCAAAAAGATTGACTATGCTTGTTTTGGGTTAAAAATTCCATACCAGTTCAATAAGATATTGTTCTTCAATAGGTAATCGACTATTTGTGTTGCATCTCCCACTGACTATCTCCACAAGAAGAACACCAAAACTGTAAATATCTGCTTTCCGTGTCAACTGCCCTCTCATTGCATACTCTGGTGCCAAATAACCTCTGAAACAACATATAAACAACATGAATGTAATATAAGATTTTTTTTTTCTTCCCGAAATGAAAAAAAGAAAGGAAAACACAGAGAGGGAGAGAGAGGTTTTAGAAATTTTATAAATTAATATGAAAATCAATGAATGTATTTTTATAAACAACAACGCACACTTAGTTTGGTAGGAACCTTGCCAGATCCTATGCCCATTCCCTTGTCCTATAGATGATATACCATCCGGGAAAACTGAAGCAAAAATTTGACTGAGAAACTCATCAGGGTTTTTAAAGAAGCCATATCAACATAATCACAGCAGGAGTGAATTGATGATGATAATGGATAGTTTCCACATGTGCCGGATGCAAAGGTCCCATCATGGAACAGATTCATCTCAAGGAATCTTCTTTATCAGCATGATCAACAAAAAACAGAATAATAATCTAGTAATCTTAGTAGACTGGCAAACAATAAAGGAGGTCTAGGAAAGATCCAAAGCAGACTGATTAAGAAAGATTGATTATCTTTTATTCTCCATTGTCAGACATCATAAGTAGAATTGCAGATTTGATTTATCCTAAATCCACAACTCATTTCATGCAAGCCATTGACCAAATTAGAATGAACTTTGTATTGGTAATTATTTTCAGAACATATTTAATATGAATTGTATGCTCACACGACCTAGTTTGAAAGAGATGCATGATTTAAACAAGGTTAACAGGATTGTTAGAACTTACATTGTTCCCGCCACACGAGTACTAATATGAGTCATGTTGTCTGGGATAAGCTTTGCAAGACCAAAATCTGAAATTTTGGGTGTCAAGTCTTTGTCAAGGAGAATATTGCTGGCTTTGATATCTCGGTGAATAATATGGGGTCGCACATCCTGATGAAGAAAGGCAAGCCCACGTGCAACACCAATGCAAATTCTAGTCCGTGTACGCCAACTCAGATGGATTCCAGTGTGGGCTTCACCTGAAAAGCATTACTCCCAATCATTTCAATGAAAATTAAAATATCAAGGCTGTCACTGTTGTTGGATGAAATGAGCATATTTATGACCAGTGTTTTGGAGTTAATTAAAACAAAATGATAGAACTCTTTAACTAGGCATGCATTTTGTAGCAACTCTATAATCCAATAACAACTCCTACTACAAATTTAATACTTTCCATTGATATTTAATAAGTTTAAATTTCCTTCATTATTTGAACAAATTGTTGAATTTCATATGCTAAGAACTCAGGGTTGTCAGAGCTTTTAAGTATCATTTCTATAAAAGAATTACTTCTCTTGGTACAAAGCAAAGGCTCAATAAATTTTAAACATAAAAGGACTTCCAAATCAAGAATAACTGCATGGACTTACCAAGAAGTGCTTGCGCGAGGCTGTTATTCTCAAGGTAGTTGTACACCAAAATTCTATGATTTTCTTCCGCGCAGCAGCCATATAGTTTAACTAAGTTCTCATGCTCTATATTTGAAATTACTTTGATCTCTGTCAAGAACTCCCGTACTCCTTGTCTTGATTCAGCTGAAAGAACCTTTATAGCAGCAATCTTTCCGTTTTTAAGCATTCCCTAACCATCCATAAATTTTGGTTTCAAAGAAGGAGTCAGTCTTCAAAAGATAAACAACTTAGACATTTTCACGATCACGATATAAGCATTCCAATAGTATATGAAAAGAAGGTGTATATTCAATTACCTTATAGACACAACCAAAACCACCCACCCCAATTTTACGGGCAGGACTAAAATCATCAGTGGCTATTCGAACCTCCTTGTATGTGTACAGTTTAACATCGTTGAGGCCTGAAAACTCTGCTCACGATTCAATTGATCAAAACGTTGTAAATACAAATAAGAAATAGATTGCGAGATTAATGATGTATATATAGTTTTTCCAGGCATATGCATGGTCCATTTAAGATAGGAATTATCCGATTGAAAACGACATAAATATGATATTTTCCAAAAAAAAAATAAAAAATCATCATTTTATGTTTATGTAGTTTAGGAGCACACACCATCATCAAAGTCAGCAGCTAGTTTTTTTGATGAATCCGCCCTCCTCCCGGTTATGAAAGAGAAACAATTCATAACTGAATGACACACCAATGACCAACCAGCGTTGTTTACGGCACAGTTTTGATAAATGCTAAATCAAATTCAAAACCTGCAAAACTAAACTGAAATATGTCATTCCAAACAAGTTTTCAAACTTTCAATAACTACTCTCATATGGTAAACTATTATATTAGTTTATATATTTATCAAACACATATACAACTTCATAACAATCGAAAACCAGAGGTGACTACTCTCATATAATATTCAAATTTTGTGACACTAATTAAGTTTATGGAAAATGAAAGCTAATTAAACAGATTCTGATTCCGAACCTTTTATTTTCCTTCTTATAAAGTATCAAAAACCACAAGCACAAACAAAACACAAGCTCAACAATAATTCACTAACATTAGACTCCTGAATCTGTATCAAGTTAAAGTTACAATCTAACATCAGAAATAAAAAAGGCTTAACCCAATATCTATTTATGATTAAACATTTCAGAAAAATAAAAATAAAAAAATGAAGAAACTAAAAAAGTAAACCAGTTGAGAAGAATACCTGAGAGAATTAAGCGGAGGAATGTCAGAGAGGGAGGGTGTGCGCCGTTTAATTAGAAAAATAATTGAGGGATGCGCATGATAGACGAGCGAGAGAAGAGGGTAGGTCTTCAATCAAATCATTAATGTCTTTTCCAGACGCCGTTTAATACTTTTATTTTTTTCTCACCTACACATAATATTTATAGACACACTAGTACACACTACAAAACACAGGTTCCACGTGTTGTGCGTCAAAGTCAATGAGGATGAGCATCCATATTTGTAGGGCAATATTTTCAGCAATGTTAAATTTGATTCATCGCAAAACCTTATTTATTCCCAAACTTCCAAATTCCAATAGAGGCCGCCTCATCTATACATGTACATTAGTCCCACTTGACTGTAACACACTTGGTTTGAACGACTGACTTTTAGCCAACTTCACATATAAAGCGTCAAACGTTAAAAAAACTTTCACTTTTCGTGAGCAAAGATATACCAAATATATTTATCAATTATATATATATATATATACCAAATACTGGTCAATTTTGTATCATAATTGATCAAAACGTTGTTCCATGTCCCAAGTCCCAACCCTGGCAAAATCCCGACTATACTGTTAAATTTTACTTGTCAAAATCTATAATTCGTTTCATTTATACAGTGACTTGTATCGAATTAAATTAAAGTTGATCGTAATATAACTCATGAAATGTTTATATTATAAAAAAAATTTGTTTTTGCTTTATTTGTAAAATCTTATTATTGCCGCCATTTAATAAGTAAAATCTTTGGTTGAACATACCTTCAAACTTTTGGTCAAATTCATTTCTTAATCACTTTTTTTAAGAATTAATGTTGACCAATTCTCACACATTTCTTAAGGTTTTAGGATATTTCAAGTTTAATTCCATATTATTCACATTCTTAGGTGGATGGAATGTGTCTCCTAATTTTCATTCTTATATCCATAGCTGGGATTATTTTGTCGTGTCTTCAAGGTCGTGATATTTTTAAAACACGTGTAGGCTGAACTACAAAGACCTGTGTATGGGTAAACGGTAAGCTGACATAATAGTGTTCAGTGTTCACACTAGAAATGGACCGTTATTTATTTATTTTTTGTATTATTCTTGGTGCTTCGTGTGCGCCGCAATATGAAATTATATTATATTATTATTATTATCATTATATGATTATGTTTTATCTCCCTTGAACAACAAAGGTCATGTGGGCCATACTTGATTTTTTTGAAGCCATTGCTGAGTGGTCAACTGGTCATGCTTTTCGAAAGAGAAGAAGATCCACATTAGGCAATGTAATTCTCTTTCCCTCTTGCCAAATTAACTTCTAATCCAATTAAATGTATTTAATATAATTTTAAATAAATGCAATATCATTTATGGATACCTTAGCACTAAACATACCACGCAATTCATTTTTAATTTTTTTTGGTCCATCACTTAGGACAATGTTTAGCTACTCACCGGTTACTAGTTTCATCAAATTAACTTCTTACGTGTCCAAATAGAAAAATAACTCATCAACTTTAATAAAAAAATCAGTAAAATAATAAAAAATAAAAATAAAATCGGATCAATCCGTTTTAATTAGATAATTACCCTTTCTCTTTTCTTTCTTTTTTTTCTTGGCTTTCTAAACTCAAGCCCTCTTTTATTTACTGTTCTTCTTTTTCTCATCTCCATGGGACATCATCAATTAATGAGCAAGTATGTTTGATTCGTGTTTGAGTTATTTTTCCTTTTCCTCTCGTGCTCCATTGAACATCATTACTCAACAGGCAAGCAAAAACTGTAAGTTCAACTAGGTCTTGTAGTGGAAGTATGATTTAATTTTTTGCTTGATTTAATTTTTTGCTTTGGACATTTATTAGGGTTTAATTTTTAGAAAGTGGCTTTCAATCATCATTAGATAAGCTAGTATTCTCAAATTTTTCTCCCTCTTTTTTTTTTTTTTTTGGGTTCTTAATTTATATTCTTGATGGTCCAGGTTGAGTTTTATAAAAGAGGAAAGATTATGTGTGATATCAAATGGACCAAATATATCAATTAATAGGCAAGCAAGAGCTATAGGTGCAACCGAGACTTCTTCTTCTGGCGACATCATCAAAAGTTAAACTATTGATTTCATTTGACTACTATTACTCTGATTTATGGTTGATATATGTCTTCTAATACAAGTTTTTTTTATAGATACAATGGACCATTGACCTCCTACTACTTCTTTTCTTTCTCTTTGTATCTAAAATTCCTTATTTTCTCTCTCCTCTTTACTCTCCTTTCCATCTCTATATTTCTTTTTTCCTCCCTCATATCTCTTTGTCATATATGTATGTATGCTATAATGTAAGTGTATTTATATTTCCACATTTCTATCATTTCATCTTTCTCTCTCTCTCTCTTAATTTCTTGTTCCTCTAATGAGCATTTTGAATGCAATGGAATCAACAAAAGAAATGGGTGAAAGCTGATGCACAATGTGAAATCATCAGCTTGAGACATAAGAGAATTTGGAACGCGGAATTTTAAGTTGGAGAAATTCAAATTTTATCAACGTCATCTTGGTTCAGAAGTCATGAAAGCATATATATCGGTTGGTTTTAGAAAAATCCCGGAAGTCAAAATTGTCTAATTGGCTTCACCCATTTTAAATTTATTGTTAATTTTACGTAATAATAATAAAAAAAAGTCAATCGTAAGACTTTTTTGAATGCGCCGTGGGTTAATTTAAATAAATAGAAGGGTTGATTTATGTAGTTCTTTGATTTGATTTTAACATTAATCGGTTTGAGTTTGTTAGAAATTTTTTTTTTTTTTAAATTATTAATAAAAAAGAAGGGAAAAAAAAATGTGAGGTTTATTGCTTAAAAGTAAGGGTGACAAATTACGATAGGACCCACCAACATGACTTTAACACCATATGAGATAAACGGGTTTGAATTGACCTCAAATGGGTTTGGGTCATAAACGGATTAACACAATTAACCCGTTTACTTAATCGTGTCGGATTAGGGTTGAGAGGTTCAACCCGTTTATACCTATTTAACTTAACATGTCATAATCATGAATATGATCTATGTATTATGTTACCTATTTAAACCTAATTATTATGAACAGTTAAGTCATTGCAACATTAACCTTGACTAGGCCTTATGATTTTTCTTCTTATTTTGAATATTTGGTTAATTGTGACAAATTTTTTCTAGTATTTATTATTAGATTGAATATTAAATTTTTCGTTTTGATAAACATGTCATTATGTTAACGGTTTAATAAATAGATCGGGTTAGTATTGAAGATTTAGATTATTAAATGAGTCGAGTTTGGATTTAACTATTTAATAGAACACCTTGCATCGACACAGTTATTAGAATTGGCCCAAACAATGGGTTGGCTTTGGTGTTGCGTGGTAGATATGGTCCAACATTAAGGCACTTCAATCGATTGCAACCGTTGGGCCGATATTAAATTAGGGATAAAATTCAGCTGGTTTTCTTCAATAAGTAATGGGCTTATTTAAATTTAGCCCGGTTAAAGGCCGGTTTTGTTTTCAATCGGTTTTGGGCTTGTTTAAAGTTTATCCAGGTGAAAGGGTAATATGGGCCAAATTGTTTTTAATGAATCGACGGCCTGTTTAAGTGTGGCCCATCTAAAGTCTACTTACATCAAAGGCTGAGGCAATATTGGCCCAAGAAAAAATAGGGAGAGCTTGCATGCATTTGGATAATGTAGTATTATCGTATCCACAATCCAGCCACGGAAGGAATGCCACGTGTCATCCTTGCAATCACCCAAACCTTACTGATTATTACTGTATTATTATTATTATTATTAATTTGTTATTACTATATGTCAAGGACCTTGAAGCCACACCACAGAGCAAGATAAAGAAAGAAGAAGTAGTAGTTCATGGCAACCTCAGTTATGTCTTCACTCAGTCTCAAACCCTCTCCATTTACTGTTGAGAAAACAGCAGCGAGAGGTCTCCCCTCACTTGCAAAAACTACTTCTTTAAAGGTTCATGCCAGTGGTGTCAAGAAGATCAAGACTGACACACCTTATGGTTAGCAATATTAATTAGTGTATATAGATATATTCTTATGCATTCATGTCCATTATTTTTTGTTTGTTAATTATTTGATTAATACTAATATGTTTCAGCAATTTGAATTCTATTTCTACAAGTATGTCTATAATTCTATTTAATAACCAACATCAAGACTGTGCAAGCCTTATGATTAGTATATATGTACATGTATGTATATATATTTAAACAAACATAAATAATTGGAACAAGAGTTTGGTTGGTATTGAATTCGGAATTTTGATAGGAACTGGTGGTGGCATGAGCTTGAGGAATGGTCTTGATGCATCTGGAAGGAAGCCAAAGGTTTGTTCTTCACCATACTTGAAAATTTGATTCATATATTGTTTCTATTATACAGCCTTTTTATTTATTTATAAATATTTCCTAATATTTTCCAATAAATATATGAACCCTTTTTAATTTGGATTTAGGGGAAGGGTGTTTACCAATTTGTAGACAAATATGGTGCCAACGTGGATGGATACAGTCCAATTTATTCCCCTGATGAATGGTCTGCAAGTGGTGATACCTATGTTGGTGGTAAGGGACACCTAAATTTTGTGATTTTGTTGTTACATTACACACACTATATATGACATTTGTTAATTTTTCTTTAGAAAACTATTATATTGTAGTGTACTTACTTGGGTTTTTTTATGATGTGTTTTAAATACATAAATGCAGGTACCACTGGCTTATTGATCTGGGCAGTTACCCTAGCTGGCCTTCTTGGAGGGGGTGCCCTTCTTGTTTACAGCACAAGTGCTTTGGCACAGTAGATCTCTCTTATTGTAATCTACTGCCATTTCTTCTATTCTAGCTTTTGCTTGCCAGTTAACTGTTCAATACATTGGCTGTCACAAAGCACTCTATCTACTCAAAACTTGTCTGTAATCTGTATCTTTTTGGTATGGATTTGAATTCATGTTTGTAATATATATTTGATGTGACTTCTATTTTATTTGCATTATTATTTGTCCTTTTTCTTTTGAATTCATGTTTGTAATATGTATTTGATGTGACTTCTATTTTATTTACATTATTATTTGTCCTTTTTCTTAAATCATTTTGAAAGGATTGCACATTGATGCATGCTAAAAAACTGGTGATTATAGAAGGTAAACATTGCAGAAAGAATTGCATGCAGAAGGCTTTCAAATTTCTTGTAATGATTACTAATGGGTATTAGCTCATGGTGTGATCTCTCCTCCCCAAAGGAGATAGTGAGTGTTAGGAACGCCCAATATTGTGAGTGAATATGTGTTCACTTGAAATTTCAAGAATATATATATATATATATATATATATATATAATGATTGCAGCATTGAAATACTTGGATTTTGAACGCTGAGTGTGAAGTACTCAGTTGATTTAGGCTCCGTTTGTTTCGTTTCGATGTAAAATATATTTTAAAAAAATATATATATTTTTTTTCAGGTAAAATAATTTCTTTTATTTTTATTTTTTGGTGTTTGGCAGAGGTTGAGATCGAGTCTATCGGATGAGACATGTAAACTAGTTTGTCGAAAATTAATGAATAAATTATTTTTCTTAGGTTTTAATATTTTTTTTCTTCGTAAATATTTTACGACAACCAAACACCAAAAAATACAAAAAATATTTTACTTTTAAACAAACTGAGCGAAAACATCAATAGTTCCAATCACACATCACTGCAGAGAGAAAAAAAAAAATGAGATATGAAGCATTACTCGAAGATGTGGGGAGATAAAGTCATTGCCATAGATCAATGGATGTAGCCAAGGCTCAGGAGAGAAACTAGAAAACCTTTCAAGACTTACGGGACAACATTATAAAGAGAACTTTAACATCTAAAGCAAAAAAGAAAGGCAAATGAAGCTCTCAAAAGAATTTGGACTTTAAAGCATACTGATAAAATACTGAGATATTACTAGTACTCTTTGAATTCCTTACAATGGTTAGCCAAACATTAGTTCTCCTTTTACATACGGAGCACAAATACAGACAAAAAGCGTGCTGAATTGAATTTCCAACAGCATCTGTGTGGTACGGAAATGAAGAAATTTTAATTTTCCTCCCTCAGAATGGGATAGTGGAAGAATTATGTTGACTCATCAAACCAACCCACAAAGGGAGGACTAACTCGTTGTCCCTCTCTCTTTCAGCTTCCATGACAGCATTCTCCAACTCGCACAATTCAAAACTTTGAAGCATCAGAAGTAGTTTCATCTTATTGTACCTCTTCATAAATATCTTCATCTTGTTGCTGTGGTGGCAATTGCTTCACACCAGGAGTGCCTGCTTGTCCAATTCTTTCTACCATCATGGAACGAACAATCTGCACATGCAAATCACTATTCTGTTCTATATCACTTCCGTATAAAATAATGGCATAGTTCTATTACATCACATCTTATATGGGAAAAGTTTTTCATATACAAACGAATATGTGGGTTGAGGGGAATTGTTAACATGAAAATCTTCAACCTTTTGATATCCGGGGTTAATAAAGCAGGATAACTTGCAAGTTCACAACCGCAGACTGGGATGCCAGAGTAATCAGTGGATCAAGTTATGTAAATAGATCAGAATATCAGGGCGTCAAAAAAGTGTCTGACCACTTTTAAATAATAAGGATGCCTAATTCTTCAACTCAGACAAGAGGAGGCCAAATGACCACCATTAAGCAATTAATCTATACTAGCTTTGAAAAAAATTATGTTCAACTATATTTGTATTTGTGTGGCACAACCATCCAAACCTTCTCAATTTCATCGGAAAGAGGAGTGTTCTCTCTCAAGTACTGTAGCGCCCTGTCTCTTCCTTGTCCCAACCTTTACCCAAAAAAAAAACACATGCAATGACAATAAGCCACAGAATGTTTTCAATTTTAGACAAGAAAATGCAAGACAAATTTATCCAAGAAAGAAATGTGAGTAAGTCATTAAGAAGGTGAGTTGAACTAAAAGAACTAACAATACCCAACTCTGCTTAACTACTGTCAAAATTTTGATTGACAAGTAAGAATAGCATAGATAAAATTTTCAAATACTGAATTTTTAAGAGCGACTCTCACTAACTTGTATGAGAGTATTAAGGAGAACAGAAAATGGAATTTCAATTGTTTGTTGTGATTGAAGGAAACCCAGTAATATTTCTATTCTTATGATAAGAAGGACATGCACGGTTTTCTAATCATCAAAACATCCTCAGAAGATAAAATTTCTTGTCGAGTGAAAAATCAAAAACAGTCACCAAATAAGCTTTATTTTGCAAAGCTGAAGATTTAAGTTATGAACACCTCAGAAGGATGCAAATACTTGAATGGTTAGAATCATCTGATTGTTGTATGGATGCTAATCTCTCTCAAAATTCAGCTTAATATGAAATATTAGAAACAGGATGTTATGTAGACAAACCTTTGGTCCCCATAGCTATACCAAGAACCCTTCTTTAACACAACATCCATCATTTCAGCACAATCCAAAATGCAACCCTGTACATCAATCAAAATCAGACCATAGATAGCATGGTGGGGGCCATTGCAAAAGAAGAGGATTTATACTGCAATACGGACCAGTTTACTCACTCCCTCGCCAAATATAATTTCAAATTCAGCTTGCCTGTATGGCCTTGATACCTATAACAAGAAATCATTAGAAGAAAAGCAATTACCTAGACATTGACACCACCAGTCAGTAGCACAAATTGGAGGTAGACATTGTCACATGAAGTATTGGAGTTATCTTTTATGAGTATTATGTTGTCTAAATTTCAATCTTAAATCTCCAGCATTCGTATAAGCATAGGTAACTATCATGACAAAAGGACACATCAATGTAATATTGGTGCAAATCTATGTAACTAAGAGTCGGGCACACTTGAAGGTGCAGTTTGTGTGCAGGGTTCAGATTCATCTGGTCCTCCGTTCAAGGACTGGGACAGTGACACAATTGAATTGTCAAAGCGCTTCACTTTTCTTATCTTGTCCACTTTACCTGCTCTTTATGTGATCTCTTGGAAGATCACTTTGTAGCCTTCCTCTAAGAATTCTTGTTTTTCTCCTTCTTGTTCTACTCTCTCTCTCTCTCATGTTGCCTCTTCTAATTATTTACAAGAACCATATCCCATCGAGTTATATACGTTAGGTATCAAACGTGTTGCATGGGACCAGGAGCATTGCTAAGCACACTTACAATCAACAACTTCTGAATGAAAAAGAAAATAGGAACAGTAAATAATAAAGGGAAACAGTGCAGATTATCTAATGAAATGTTAACTAGTCGGGTGATGGATTTTATGCATAAGAACCACATTCCATAGAACCACATCAGCTTTGGTATCACTGATTACATCAAATTTGTTGCACGGACCAAGAGTTCTGCCAAGCCCATTTAAAAATTAACAAAACTTTTGAGTAAAGAATAAAATTTGAAAAGGTATATAATAGAGGGAGGGATGCAAATAACCTAATGCATGTGCAGTTAATTGCATCATGAATTACATGCAAATTTTGAGACGAATGCTATCTTCTTTTTTCTCTTTACAGATTTTTTCCCCTTTATTTCAATGTAAGTTTCAGTTAGACAAATAAGACTAAAAAATACCAACTTATCCTAGTTATTATTCATGTCATTACTTGTTTAAAGAAAAGGAAATCCATAAAAAAAAAAAAAAAAAATCAAAAATCATGATTTATGTAAAATATATTATCATTTTAAATGTAATGGAAGAAATTGGTAGAATAAAAAACAACACGTTTCTGGTATGTGTATTACATGACATCCTAGCAAAATTTCATATTCATTTAATTTACCTTACTCTTTTGGACTCTTACACGAACCCTAAGCCCAATGTCTTCATCCCCTTTAACCTACAACAACGAGCACATATTAGTTATAAGGATTCCACGTATATCCAGTATTAAATAGAACCTGCATACCATAAGATAGACCACAAGATAGATAATCAATTAGGTAGATTATGTGCTTACAGACTTTATCTTCCCTATAGGACGTATCTCAAGACGAACTGATGCAAAAAACTTCAAAGCAATTCCTCCACTGGTGACTTCAGGATTTCCATAATATACACCAATCTGATCAAACAACAAAAGAACAAAAATATTGGTCTCTGGATGAATAATTGCAATTGGACATAGAAAATTAACAAAGAAAACTTGAGGCAAAATAAGACAATAATATAACATTCATGTTTGTTAGGAAAAAGATTAATTCTGGTGGCAATTCCTGTGATCAAAACATGTGATGAGTAATGTTTTAGTTTAATTAAGGTTATTTTTTATTTTTCAGTCATGTTGAATTGCCTGCTGATTTGATTGAGAATTGTGAAAGTAGAGTTTGACCCAAGGATACATGAAGATTGAACAAAGATCACTAGGTGATACGGAGAAACGGTCTTAATCAACTTGGATCACACAGATTAGGAATAGGAGAAGGCAAGTTTGAGTTGGATAAATTTTGGATGTGTTAGAAAGCATTTCAAATGTAAAAATCTGTTTTATTAGGAACAGAAGACCTTAGAACAACTTAAATGTGTGATATGTGTTAATCTCCATATCGGGGATTGAATCTTGCTAGATTTTTAAGTGGGCATTTCTGGATTCATAAAATATTTCATACTTGAAATCTTGTGATGATCTGTATAATTCAAAATATAGAATACTTATCAAAAAAAAAAAAAAAAATGGACTAAATAAGCTTTCAGTTACAAAATATTCACTCAATTTCAAATTTGTTTGACCCCTCAACTAAGCCCCCAAACTCAGGCCTTCGTGTAGTGAGTAATCACACTCGTAGAAGCAGAGAGTAAGTAACCAGTTACTCAAATACTGAGCACCAGTGCTAAGATCGTAAGGTGTGAAAAATGAGAAGTTTCTAAGTCTGAAATTGTTCTAGTTCAACCAAAACACATTCAGAAGTTTATAAATTGATTTTCAATCATTTTAAAATTTGGAAAAGAATTTCTGAACCTATATAAAGGGTCTTAAGGTTCCAGAAGAAGAAAGAGATATAGAAGAGATTAAGAGAACTAACCTGTGTTCTCACACAGAGTTATATTGAGGGTTTAGATCATTGAGACAGACTTCGTTTCCTTTACACGTGTGTGGTTGTTCAAGTTTCTGTTGGAAATTTTATTGACCATCATTGAAGAGCACCAGTGACAGATATTCATCAAAATTTATTCTTCTCATGGTGAACGAGAGTTGGTTTGCTTTGACGATCGGTCTTAAGAAAAGTAATTACTGAAAAGCACGAGGACAGATTGCGTGGAGATGGATTCGTTGAATGTAGCATGGTAAGGTTGCATTGATTTGATTTCTTAGTAAATTATTTTCCTTATGCTGTGTTCGGTAAGAAGGAAAGAAGAGGTGTGGAGAGAAAATAGGAAGTAAAGAACGAAATTCCTTTGTTCGGTAAAGATGATAAAAGGAAAGAAAGGAAAATAGGAAGGATGACCCATTCTTCTTCCTTTACAAATGGACGGAACAAAATCGGGAAAAACAATTAAAACTTTCTCTTTCTTTCTCTCTTAACGAACATAGTAAATTATGAGCTTATTCTCTTCTCTTCTATCCAATCGAACAAAAAGAAGGAAATACACAATCTCTTCCCTATGGATGTCTCATCCATTCCTTCTTCTCTCCCTTCCATCCAAATTTTTTTCTTTCTTGCCGAACAGAGCATTAGGATAAGGTCTGTTGTTTTATTTGTTACTCCTAAATAAAATTTGGTGTCTTTTCTATTGCTTTTCAGTTGATTGACCCTCCACGTATCGGTATCATAACATATTAGTGGGACATTTTTACTTTCACTTATAACATATTATTCAGGACATTAAAACTTTTTTTTTTCACTGGAGGGCCATTCACTCCATATTATATAAATAACACCCCCCAAATAAAAAAATTAAAAACTAATGTCATCCACCAAGGAGTGGGATGTGCCTGTTGATTCACAAATACCTTGTATCTTATTTGATTTAGGAAGATCAGAGTACATCCAGCTTTGGAGGCATTTCCTGACATTTTACGCAAAGCTTGGCTCATAAGACGTGCTTGCAGACCTATTTGCTGCATCCCAATTTCACCCTATATACAAAGAACCAACCAAGGAAAAGTCAGACTACTATGATCTTGCCAACTTTTATATGTTCACAAATTTAAGAATGCAACTTACTTCAATTTCAGCTCGTGGAGTGAGAGCTGAGACGGAATCAATACAGATGAGATCAATGGCACCAGATCTACACATACGGTCGGCAACTGAGGCAACACAACGTTTTATTAACAAATATAAATCAAGCACACTCATAATAAACTTTATTGCATTTCACTCTAAAATTCACATTCAGTATAGCTACAGTTCTTGGATCATTTCTCATATGGAAATTTGTAAACAAGAAAAATTTATTACTCTCTAATGCCATCTCCCCATTATCAGGTTGGCACACAATCAAATTTTCTACATCTATTCCCAACGCTTTTGAATAGGTTGGATCAAAAGCATGCTCTGCATCAACAAGCATGGCATTGCCTCCTGACTTCTGCATATTCAACATAGAAAAGTGGTAAGTTAGTCCCCAAAGCAGATATGAACTGTATAAGAAGTGCCTCCTTAATAAAGAGGACTTATAAATATATGATGTAATAAGAGACAGAAACAACACCTGCACTTCTGCAATTGCATGGAGTGCCATGGTGGTTTTTCCGCTACTTTCTGGCCCATATATCTGAAAAGAAAGTGCTGATACGTTCAGACTGTTGAAAGCAGCAATTATATTACCAGATATGCAAAATGGTGACAATGCCAAAGTAGTTGAATAACAATTCTTGTAGAAAATGAACTGTTGAAAAGGTGTCCGCTACAGTCAATTTATGATAACTTAATTTATCCAGGTTTTTTGCACTTGACTACACGTCTTAATTTGTTTCCACAGTAGAGATACTGGGACATGCTGCACCACCACATCTAGATGATGATTATGGTAGGATAACAATCAGTCTCATCACCATGTTCACTTAGATGTGTTTACCGGGTGTGGTTTGTAGGTCTCTGTGTCATCAAATCAAGATGCTGGAACTTTGCTTAGAATGTATTCAAAAGTTACATATGGGTAAAATGAACATGTTATGCACATTTGGATACATAATATGTTACAAAATAGTTTTTTTTTTTTTTTTCCTTATGTTATAAAATAGTTTAACATATGACGTTAATATTCTTTAAGGATGTACTTGGTCAGAATTAAATCAAATGGGTGTGGTAAAAAATGGGTTTCCGGCTATCTCAAAAGTAGTATACCCTTCTTTGCTACCAAATTTGAGCTTTTCTTCTTCCATCATCACATATGGAGAATTGAGGTGTCCGATTTGAGTATGTTTGTCGGAACCTTGTTGTATACCCATATCCAAATCATGTTGTTTTGATAGATGTATATTCCATCTAACAGTCAATATTGCATGTTTGATACTATGTTAAAACTACTAAATGCGCATCTTATTCATCATATGGTAAGATCAGTTTTCCCAAAATAGAATTAAAACATATTTTATCATGAAACAAGCAAAATCACCACAAGAAATTAGACTGAAAAGCAGAAAACAATGATAGTACCTCTACAATTCTCCCTTTGGGTAGGCCACCATCTAGGGCAAAGTCTAATGTCAAACAGCCACTTGGAAAAGTTTCACTGTAACAGACAAATTTTCAATAAACCTACAAGCAAGAAGAACGTTGCAATGCCACACCTTGTGCTCATTAGAACCCATGACAAGGAAGTGAAATTAAGACTGTACAATCACTTCCTTTATAATCGAATTAAACATGGGAAGAAGAGAAGCCAGAAGGATACACACACATATTAATATATATCAAGAGGGATATATATATATATATAATATATTATTGAGAGAGAGAGAGAGAAACACGTTGACATAAAAAAACATACACCAGAGCTCCACCAGCACTGCCCAATCTTGTAACACTTCCTTTTCCAAATGAGTTATTTATGTCGTTAATTGCTGCTTCTAGTGCTTTTTGCTGAAAAAAAAAAAAAAAAAAATTTGATTGTCAGTTTTGAGTCAATTGTAAGCAGCTATGTATGTCATTCAGCATCCCGAATATATTTAGGCTCGATCATTTTATACCCAGGGAGGGAATTGTTTGCTGTGGAGAACACAAATTGCGGCCAAAAACTCAGGGCACAGGACTCAAATACAGCTAACTAGTTCGGTAAGTGACATCTGCAAGTTAACAAAGTGGAGATATCAATGCTCCTTTTACATAATGTTGTTTCCATCTGCTGCTATCCAGTTGATGTAAATGCACTAAAAACCAACCTACTGCTACTCCAGATGATTAGACATTTTACTGTTCACATCTACTTAGAAAGTAGATGATAATGAAACAGTGAAATTTTCATCTATAAATGATGATTTTAGATTTTGAATATAAGCCATTTGAAAATTTCATCCATAAATGGTGATTTTAGATTTCGAATAGAAAGTAGATTGTTTTATTTATGAGTGGTAAGGGCAAAAAAACAATTCACTGTGACTGAAAATAGGAACAAGGGTAACCACTATCTCTCCTATCCTTTTCTACTAAATCCTCTCACTTTTAGGAGAATAACCGAAACACTATTCAAGGAATTAGACTCTCCCTTTCTCTTGCATATTCAACTCCCTTTCCCTCCCTACTATTCCTATGATCTCCTTTCTGTTTAACTCCGTCAATTCAAATGCAGTGTATAGGTCAAAATGGTTTTCAATATGTACAACAACTCAGAATAAGGTAGTGATAATTTACCTTAATGATGATTAGAAGAGGAAAATATCCTATAATTTATATCAAGAAGCACTGGTCGCTAAAGACAACTTCTTTGAGCAAATGTGAATACAATGTTCATAAAAAAAATCAGAGAAACTCTAGCTACAATTTATAACCACAGTTAAAATAAATAAAATGAATTCATGGTTTCAGAACCAAACTCTCAAATGTCTCTATGTAACTGGGAGCATGTTTCCTCACTTATAAATTGTTCAAATCATAACATAAACCTAGTACCTGCTATCATTCGTGTTGCAAGAAGTCAATGAAATACTACTACACATTTAATCAAAAGAGAGAGAAAAAAACAAAATAACAACAATAGAATTAAAGTTATAGTGCTTTATATCCTGTGTACATACAGGTAAGTGTGAATACAAATGTGTGCATACACAGCATATATGTATATTATACATACAAATATATATATAACATACTCGGTCAAGAAAACGAGGGTCTGAATCATCATAAAGAGCACCATTGATTTTGTCGTCGTACTCTAAGCGAACCCTGATTTTTCTGGTGGCGAACTGTGACTTCAAACGGGGACGAGAGGATTGAAATTGTAGTGAAGAACAAGATGAGAATAGAGGTGGGTAAATTTTGGAACAAAAAAACTGGGCCTTCACAGGATCCACTAACAAATCCATATTCAATCGATTTTAGGAGTAATTTAGATAGAGAGAGTTGGAGTAGAGCAAAATGCAATTGCAGCGGAGGGAAAAGATTACACTTGCCGAGGATGTGTGTGACTGTGTGAGAGAGAAACTCGTTTTGTCTGTCCGTATTCTGGGCTCAACCCGGCCCACTAATTCGTTTATTTGAGTGGGCTTAACAAAGTAAGTTCAAGTAGCTGCCCCAAATCAAGCCCAACTATTAAATATGGGCTAACACTGGGCCCATGTTATGTATACGCTTTGTGTGGGTAATAAAGTATTTGTTTTTTTCTCCGAAAGAACTCAAAATCACAAAATCATTGTTGTTCCATGAAAAACAGGATGCTTTGACCTTTCAATTAGAAGGAAGTGGAAATATCACATAAGCCAGTACTGCATAGTAGGTTAGGTATGGCATTTTTCACATTGAAGAGCAGTTTTAGCTTACTTATTTGTAGATGAAAAATTCTAGAATGCTTCACACCAAATACGGTCGACCATTCACGTGTGATCGATGGTCATCAATGTCGGTGTGGACAGTGTATAATAGCTCTTGAAAAAAATTATGCGTAACCAATGTTATAATAGTTAAATAATTTGACAAAGTTTGATGGGTTAAAAAAGCAAAACCTCCACTAACTTTATTAATCTCAAAATAATATAATTTTACCAGTAGAGTAGGTTTTGGGTAGAATTTAATTAGGAAAAATAAGAAATATTTTTCGAGCAATAAATTTTTTATATTCATATAACATCTTTTACAAGTTTCTTTCATGGAGAGCCCCATGAGCCGGACTTTCATATATTTCTGAAAAAAAAAAAAAGCCTAAAAACAAATCCACAGTTTAGTATAGAAATTGTATTTGTGGAAATGTAGAGTAGAACGAGTCAATTGCAAAAACATATCTCAGAATTTAAGTGATTTTAATCAATTTTAAGTAAGTAAATCAAATTTAGTTTTGCCTCTATGTTCAGATTAATCCATCAAAACCCACAGATTATTGTTTTAGTACCTCATAACTACTTAATGTAATATCATTGATCATCAAATAGTGGACTACAATAAATATGGATGCTTATAAGTAGCTTCAGGTTAGAATCCAAAAATTTATCTAGAGTTCAAAAAAAAAAAAAAAAAAAAAATGAAAATAAAGATAAATTTTCTTCTTTAATCTCAGGTTAGAATCCAAAAATAAAACGGTGACTTGTGAAATTTAAATGCAATATTTTTTTTCCCGTTTCCGGAGCATGTGAGCACTTTAACAACTAGGCCACTTGGTGATATCCGGAGTCTTTATAATCTTTGAAAAATCACAATTTTGGTGGGAAGGATAAGAGAAATTTGTTGTTGGAGTTGGACCCGATTATCATGGGAGTTAGGTTATTAGTTGCTTTCAATAATCCATAGACTTGTGGTTTTATAATTGGAGATTAGAGATTCTATTTAAGACTTTTTTGGCTCCACAAACAAACCTAACTAATTGTGTTACTTCTATAGGTGTCATTGGTACAATTTTAATGGTTTTATTCATAATATAATGACAATAATTAATAATAATACTAAAAGTCCCTGTTATTTTCTTGAGCTTTCTAATAATCGAATTGAAAAATCATTGTCACTGTCACTCGTGTGGGGGCAAAAAGAAAAACATATTGCTTGCTGATGAGATTAGGAATTAATTAATTAGTTTTAAGTTTTAACTGAAAATGTATTATCTGGTGTATGCTTCCACTATGGCAACATTATTTTGTATAGTGATTGATTTTAGACTCTAAATTAGAACTTTGACTGTTGTACAAAGCAATCATTTGCTAATCGTTTTCATTTTGTGTTTTTGTTTTAATTTAAAATATAATTATTTTTTATTTTTTATTTGTAAAGTGTGTTCATTTGTGATTGGAAGCATGCTTGGTAACTTAAAATTTATTGCAAGATTTTTACAAGTAAAAATATAAAATCATGTTTGATAAAAAAAGTGTTGGATGATTTTTATCAGTTATTTAAAAAAGGGTTATTATAGTTTTTTTTTTATTTTTTTATTTTTTTATTTTTACAATTCACAGTTGCTGTGTTTTTGCTATTCTGCAAAAATATATAATTTGGTGTTTTTTATTTGGGCCTCTTTTCCATGACAAATGCAAACTATTCAAATGATAATAATTGCTTACCAAAAAATGATTGAAATGGTTGATAAACATGTTTGGTAATATAAAATTTATTGTAAGATTTTCAAAAACAAAAATAAAAAAACATGTTTGATAAAAGAGCCTTACATGATTATTACCAGTTAATTTTTATATAAAAACATATTTAATAAAACATGTTTGGTAACATAAAATTTTCAAAAACAAAAAAATAAAAACATGTTTTATTTTTATTTTTTATTTATTATTAGTTACTAACCTAACCAATTAATGGTTTTATTCATAATATAATGACAATAATTAATAATAATACTCCTGTTATGTTCTTGAGCTTCTAATAATCGAATTGAAAAATCATTGTCACTGTCACTCGTGTGGGAGAAAAAAGAAAAACATATTGCGTGCCGATGAGATTCGGAATTAATTAATTAGGTTTAAGTTTTAACTGAAAAATGTATTATCTGGTGTATGCTTCGACATAAAGAACATTATTTTGTGTAGCTAATGATTTTAGGCTCTAAATTAGAACTTTGACTGTTGTACTAAACAAATCATCTAAACATCATTTGGCAATCGTTTTCATTTTTTATTTTTATTTTTATATTTAAAACAAAAATAATTTTTATTTATTTATTATGAAGTATGTTCACCTGTGATTGAAACATGTTATTTGGTAATGTAAAATTTGTTACAAAATTTTTAGAAACAAAAATATAAAAACATATTTAATAAAAAAAGGTTGTATAATTGTTACCGATTAGTTAAAAAAAAGAAAAGAAAAGGCTATTATAGTATTTATCTATTTTTATTTTTAATTATAAGGATCACTGTTGCCTTGTTTTTGCTATTGTGCAAAAATATTTAACATCAAATTGTTGTTTTTTATTTGGACCTCTTTTTGAGAACAAATGTAAATTATTCAAAGGGCTAAGTATCTAAAACACAGAGGTTTAGTTTTTGAGCAAATATCCATCTTTTACTTTGGGTAATATAACTTCCTCAAGAATTTAAAATATTGTAAAGAAAGACTTTTTGCCTGTTATCGTTAAAAATGCACAGTTAAAAAAACATGTGTGGCACATGACTGATTAAATTTAATAAATACCAAAATTATCCTTTTGTTGATTCCCAAAATGCCCTTCCCTTTTGTATATAAATCTCAAAAATAAAAAACATAATAATAATATTACATTAACTGAATTTTTATTTATTTATTTATTTTTAATTATAGGAAAGGTAGTTTAGTATTTTTATTACCATTAGCAGCCAATTGACGGGAGGTATAGGGGTGTTAAATTCTCGGGAAGCCTTATTTAAATGATAATAATCCGTTACCAAAACATGTTACGGTATTCTGCTTCGCTACAGATTACTGTGATGACACTGTGGGTGGGGGTGTGCCGTGGGCGGGTGCGAGAGACATTGTCTGGCTACCACACTGGCGAGCTACGAGTGCACAAGTCTCACATCGCCTAGGAGCGGAAAATGTGAAGTACTTATATGTAAATGTGTCATCCCCAATTGGTATGAAGCCTTTTGGGAAGTCCAAGAGCAAAACCGTGCCGGCTCGGACCCAAAACGGATAATATCATACCATGCGATGGAGTGGGTGAGTCGGTACTTACAACAGTACACCATCCACAACACAAAACATGCAACAAAAATAATTGTCAAACAAAACCAAACACTGCATTGTAAAATCAAAGCAAATCTCGGTGATGAGCTCATAAAGATTTAGTGTTTTCAGTTTTTAAATCGTCTGTCCCGTTATTTTATGTCTATTATTATTGTTTTTAGCCTGATATCTCCTGTTAGTCAAGCAATTGAAAGTGATAGTCATATAATTTTTGAAACATAGACTAATAGAGTTATTGTTATGTTCTGTTTGGCATTACACAAATCGTCACTAAAATTATATCTACTAAAAGAGGAAAATGCTTCAAAGTGTTATCTATGCTGCTCACTAAGCTTTTGCAAATTAAAATAACTCCTTCATGGTTTTACACTATCGTAATTTATTACATCATTTATAATTTTTTAATTATTTATATACATTATCAATTTATCATAAAAAAAGTATAGAAAGGTTCCCAAAATTCTTTTCCTTCACTGTTTTTTCAAAAATTATAATATGAAAACGGAGTTAAACAAAAAATATAAGTATATTATCTAAAAATTGTTTGCTGGTTTTATTGTTTAGAAAAACTGTTATTTATTTATTTATTTATTTTTATTTTTTAAAAGAGTCCTTTCAACTTTTAAAATTAGTATCAAAATGGTGCAACTTGGATAAAAACAGTGTAACTACACCCACTTTTAAAATCCATTCAACCCACAATGTCAACATTCCAAAGATGATCCCTGCAATTTATATTATAGTGTGGTAAAAGGATCAGTTTATTTATTAATTATTATTCGGATCGGATCGAATCGAATCCGTTGAATGACATATCGGATCAGATTTAATCCGTGAATTGAGGTTTTTTCTAAATAGTCCAATGTTATATATTTTTTTAACCATAACTCTAGATAAAATTTTAATTTATCACTATTAATTCATATATTTAAATGATCATTAACTAATACATTCTTATAGTCCATTAAATGATCATCAATAAATTAAATTAACTAATATATTTTTGAATTTCATAAATCTCATGGATCGGATTTTTAATAGTTCAATTCGGAATCTGATCCGTGAGTTACAAATTCAATTTTTTTGAATCCGCTACCGATCTGTGGGTGTAGCAATCCGAACTAATCCACACTGATTGGACCGGATATGATTGGATTCACGAATTATTTGCCTACCCCTAATACCAGGTTATGAACTTGGTTGTAAGTTATGAACTTGGTTGTAAGTTATTTTCATCTGCATCAAATAAAGAGATAGTCTCTCTAATACTCCCCTTGGCAGGAGATATAAAAAAATTGATGGAAGGGATGGATGAGATACTCCTAATGGAAATAGATATTAGTAATATTTTCTTTCCCTAGTGGATTCATACATCCTCCCTCTCTTCCCTTGTTGCTTCCAAGTTTTAACTAAACGGTGAAAAATTGCTCTATACTTCTTTCCAACCAAACAAAGTATAATTGATTGATCGTGCTTGCTGGTAAAGAAAGCCGACGAATTAAAATTTGATTCAGACAGAACCAAGGAAATAAAATATCTGAACACATGCTTAACCAAGAACTGGTAATCTGTAAAACTGAAATCAATTTATACACACATGTTCCATCAATGAGGACAACACATGTACATTGGTGACTATAGAGAAATTAAACCATACATATAACCAAGTTCAATATTTTTACATGTATCTTCTTGATATGGCCAAAAATACTAGCTACAAATTAGGCCTCAAAAATCAATAATGGTTCCACATGGTGGGCAAGCCCACATCAGATAAAAAGCTCTCTGAGCTTCCTTGATCCCCTAAGCTTGGTGATCCATTCACCATGTTAGGGTAGCTTTCCATCTTGGTGAGATGATTTAGAACAGCTTTAATTACCTTTTTGTCACAAGGGAAAGAGTTTAAACTTGTACCCAAATCTGGCATAGCTCCAAAGGTGGTGGGGGTAGTTTTGGATGACATGTTTGGCTCCACATGGGTGATGTGTGAGAAAGTAGGATTGGTTTGGTTTGGTGTGAAAATATTGGAGAAGCAGGGCACTTGCTCATACTCATTTATAATGTTGTTGTTGGTTTGAGTTTGGTCGAAAGTGATGTATGAATCCATTAGTGGCGGGAGAGATGATGAAGAGCTGATCGTGTCGTTGAAGCTGCATCCCATTATGCCTTGTTTGGCAGGAACTTCTTTGTTTTTGTAGAACACTCTACATAATACCCAATCTTCCTGTTAATTCAAAAGTAAGAAAACTTTAGCAAGAGCATTAGAAAGTGAAATCATAATCACAAAGATTTAGGTAATAAATTGTACATAGACATCCACAATCTTATTTAGCTGCCATGTGCAAAGTTTCAGCTCCATATGCTGCACTCACATGACAAAAGTTCAAAACTTTTCAACTGTACTTTAAATTAACATGTGAAGTTAAACGTGACGAGATTTCAAGCAACTTAATTTCACATCTCATGTGAAGAAAAAATGTCAATATTTAGTCTGTTTGGTCCACGTTAATTGAGAATGTTACACGGATAACTTTTTACACGAATGTAATGCAAATTAATCAAGCCATCCACTAGTTAATAAAAAAATCGAGTTTATTTTGACCTTGTGAAATTTGGGTTTATATCTATCCTTGTGACTCTGAAGAAAATTTTAAATTATGTTATGAATGGCAATATTGTCATAAGCTTGGCTTGTTAAGGATATACAAGGACAAGGGAGTAGGTTAGCTTTTTTTTTTCTCATGACAAGTCATGCACAGGAATTTTGTTGTGCTTAGACTTGGGAAACATCAGCACAAGTTCTTCATTTTGTAGTTATCATAATAAAATAATAAGGTGCTTTAAACCTACTAACTGTAAATAATAAACTAATAAGGTGCTTAAGCATTATATTAATCCTGTTCATCATAGGTCAGCTACCACTATGATTTTTAATTCGCTTAATTTATACAAAAATTGTTTTTATACAGATAAAAGAATTTGAATGACTTCAGTAGATTTATTTTTTAATGCAAAAAAGATTCTTATAATCAAATTCATGCCAATAATGTTGACAAGACTTTAGGACACTTGCAAAAGGACAAAATAAATAATTAAGTTAAAATAGTTTATGGGCCTAATTGGTCCAACTGGGATTCTATATAAATAGAGACAAAATTCAATCAAAATCAGAGATTATAGAAATATTGGACTGATATAAGTTATTTCAAAATGATAGACATGAAAATAAAATGCTTCTTGAAGCAAAAAACTAAGTAACCTAACTAATGAACATTGATGAGATGATATGTAGTGATGCACAGCATTACTCAGTAACAAGTAAGAAAAAAAAGGAGGGTAAGAACCTTGAGAGAAGTAATCTTTGGAGGGCCAAGGGGTCCTTCAAGCCGAAATTCGTGCATGACCCAGTCACTTTTTCTCCCTTTAGGAGCCCTACCTTGGTAGAAAACCAAGGTCTTCCTCATCCCAACTAGGGTACCCCTGTGGATGATCGCCCTGTCCTTCCCTGTGGCCTTCCAGTAACCAGATGTTGTGGCCCGATTTGTTCTCTGTCCGGTCGCATATTTCCGGTCACGCTGGCTGTAAAAGTACCATTCTTTGCCTCCCACACATGCCATTTCTATCAAATACAGACAATAAGCTTTCATCACGAGTTCAAACTGATTCATCACTAGTGTTGTAAATAGTTCTCTGAATTATCAAAAAGAGTTGCAAAATTACTCTGTACATGACTAAGTATGTTCAATTTTTCTGTTACATGTACAAGTTCAGTATACAAATGAAACATAATTCAGAAAAAATGAAAAAATAATTAAGGAAAAAAAATGTCGTTATGTCAATATCAATGGTCATGACTCATGATCTTTGGAGGGTCATTGAGACCCTCTCGATAACAAACACGTGTCCAACCATGTTGTGGCATCATTAGGGACTTACTTGGCCAAGACAGCTAAGTAGCTAGCCATCCATCCCAACATTATGTGGGTGAAGGGTCACTCTCTATACCAAAATAATGGAGAATTATTGTTGGCATTAGTATAAATAGTAATTAGCTAGGTCACAGATGTGGATATATTGGTTTGTGTTCATGACAGACACACACATACACACATATATGGATATGTGAAGCAGAAGTTTTCCACCACAACTACTGTTCCTTTGAAATGAAAGGTGGGAAAATGAAATAGAAGAAATTTGGAAAGTTGATGATGGTGACAAACCTAATATTTTTCAGTAACAAGAAGCAATTAATTTAGGTGAAAACCAAATTCATTACAAATTGAACTCTTAAGTGTACACGCGTGTGGTTGACATAAGGTGGAAGCAGATTGGGTATGACTTTGGATTTACATTAATATCTCTATCAGTGTCACCATCTTTTAGTTGAGACAATGCCAAGAATGTCAATTTCTTATAAAAGTAACGAGTGAGGAACGAATGAATGAGAAATATTCCACAAAACACTGGTACAAATATATGTACCACATGTATATTTATGTGTATATACATGTATTGTGTATGTACAAAGTACAAACAAATGATGAATAGTTTTGACTTATCAAGACAGAGCAAACAGTTTGGATTTATGATTAGAGAGGAGACTGATAAAAACTAAAAATCCATTTCTTCAAAATTTTCACATATGTCCAAACTAAAGAATCTGATATAATATGAATTATGAGATAAATAATAAATACAAATAGGTAGACTTTAAAATATATATTTTGTTACATTTAATAACAGTGAAAGTTTTAATTTAAACTATGGAATAGAGTTTGTCACTTGAAAATCACCACTTCCATCAGATACATTCAAGAATAAACTGACATCAAATACTTTAGAATTGTTAATCTAAATAAAATTAAAACCGGAAAATTGCAAGCGGACCAAACATTCATCTACGCAAAATTTCAGGCATTCCTTCCGGTCCATGCGTGGTCGTCATCACTCTAGATGAAAACAAAATATACTAAACATTTTTGACCAATGAGTTTTCCACAATTTTCATTAATTTCCGTCTACCAAAAAATCCAACATACACACAGCACAAATATATATATATATATATATATATATATATATATATATATATAATAATCTTCCTATTATATATATATATATATATGTGAAAGAGGAAAATATCTTAATCATATTTTCTAAAGAAACAAATACCCTCTATCTCTTTCTAAAACAGTACAGGAACAAATTCCTTTGATTAGTTATCACCCACAAATTGAATATAAATGTACTATTAAAGAATTAAAACATGATGATACATGATAAAAAAGATGAACATGGCAATATTGATGAATACTATTAATTGTACAAACATATATAGTAGTACTGTGTGCGATGACGGTGGTAGTGGTGGTGCATATGGTGGCCGGTGAAGGTAGTGCAGGTGGTAATCCACACGACACATGAAGCTATATATATATATATATATATATATATATATATATATGTATGTTTGTATATACTTACTGGGAATGTCCCAAGGCTCACACTTATTGAGGTCTACTTCGATCATTAGAGGGCACTCACAGCATGTCACCTTTTTCATCAAGTAATCACATATCAGTTCTTCATCCCTAGGATGGAACCTGAACCCTGGCGGCAACTTTGCCTCTACCATGCTCAGATTGCTCATTTTGCTGGATAATATTAGAGAGAGAGAGAGAGAGAGAGAAGAAGCAGAAGAGAGAGAGAAGAAGCAGGAGAGAGAGAGAGAGAGAGAGAGAGAGAGAGAGAAGAAGCAGAAGAGAGGGGGAGAGCCCAAACAAGGTTCAGATGGTTGTGTGTGTATGCATATATAAGAAAAGAGAATTAGGCAATTGTATTAACAAAATATAATATGTAAAAAAAAGTTAAAAATTAGATTAAGAAAAAAGAAAAAAAAAAAAAAAAGGTTGGTTAAGTCAACCAATAATTTCCGTGTAAGAGAAGGGGGTGGTGTGATGGGTTAGAAGTTTGAAATTGAGAGGAGGTACTTGGCCTACGTGTCCTGCTGACTTGCACTGGCCAATAACTGCCAACCAGCTGACGTGTACTTCGAGACATTCATCATTCATACACACACATACTACTGTGTCATGACGTACTCATTCATGGAATTTATTGACCTCTTTTTTTAGAATTTAGGTGCGAATTTGGCAATGGTAAAGTAGACCCACAAACTACTGTGTCATGACGTCCTCAATGAGTGTGTACTTTTTGGACTTTTCCTTTCCTTATTTATTTATTTTTTCACGCATCCTTTTCTGGACTAACGGTTTTCGCAATTCATACTTGTATATACGTTAACTGCTGGATTATATCGTTATTTGAGTTCCAAATTATTTCCTTAGCGAATAAATCAGTAAGAAACTTGTATATATATATATATATATATATATATATATATATCAATGTGTATATTACTCAGAATCAGATTATTTGATCCCTCACCTCTAAAAAGAGAATCTTGAGTATTGGAAGGTTCAGGGAAAGAAAATATTTAGATAAAAAAAAAAAAACAGTAATTACTCAATTGTAACTTTAATGTCTGCTAAAAAAAAATGGAACTAAATGTTATTTTCCTATATTTTCTCAACTGGTGGATCAAGGTTGTCAAGGAGAGCCTAATCTTAATCCAACTATTCAACTGACTCTCTTTACTTCATTACAAATTTCAACCACCACTAATTTTACGTGGGAAAGTAAAGAAGGAGAGCCTAATCTTAATCCAACTATTCAACTGACTCTCTTTACTTCATTACAAATTTCAACCACCACTAATTTTACGTGGGAAAGTAAAGTTTTCATAAATTTTTTGAAAAAAAAATGCATGTAGCATGACTCCATGTGACAGCCCCTGTAATATTTTGCTTTTTAAATTATCCAATTCTAATATGTTCAGACCACGTGTTTGAGTCTTGAGTCAAGCCTTAGGGCGTAAGAATACAATATATCAATGTAGATAGATTTATAATTGTTCAAAGTTTTGAACAAAATTGTTTGTCGGTCTTCAAAAAAAAAAAAAATCAATTGCAAAAAATGCAAAATCTCCCGTTGTAAGGAATGTAAATACCTAGACCAAGTTGCGTGCTAGTAAGTTTAAAATCCCGAAAATTAATCCGGGATTGTTCAATGAGAGTTGAGGCCCATGAAATCCAGGCAAGGGTGGGTTCAATCCATTATCTTCCAATTATCATATTGACTTATTAGTATCAATAATTGCAACTAAAATGATTAATAATATCCAAATTTAGCTATTAATCTTCAGATACAATACCCCCTTGTTGGGATAATATTTGATTCATTTCTCTTCTTTTACGTCTCAAGAAAGAAATCAGACAGCTCTCCACGAGTAAAAATAAATGGATTTAAAGGTGCAGTAGTATCAATCATAGCAGAAGCTATATACAACCCATCTTGATGTAATGATAGGGTGCGGATTTTAAATACTCCGACTCACCCAAATGAGTAATGCTCCGATACCTGAATTTTTTTTTCTGATGTCAGGCACTTAGAGAGTAATCAACAAGATTGAGTCTCTTTCATTTCCACGTTGATCCGATTTTTATAACGGGACTTATATTTTTTTTCCACCCAAAGCAAAGTCATACATAACCCTGCTTAGAACTCCACGTCGTGGTGGCAAACTTTTTTTTTTTTTTTTTTTTTTTTTTTTTTTTTTTTGTTAAAAGTCGTGGTGGCAAACTTGATAAGTACTTAAAGACACTATCGAAAAAGAAGTGTCTGTACAAGTAACTGTACCAACAGTAACATTACCTATCTCTTCGTAGAGAGGTCCTTTGGATTTTTGCTTCCAATACGTTGAATATTCAGAGGCAATTCTATTTTCAGTGATAGCAATGTTCATGTTATTTTGCTCTAAACCAGTAAGCTTTTTTGAAATTCATGTCGGCCACAGTTTAAAATACCAAGAAATAACAAGAGTCCAAAGCGTCCAATATCTTTCAATCATGAAACTTTCAATTGATGCAAAAACAGTAATAGTAAGTGTGAATTCAGATTCCTATCCAAATCCAAATCATGGTCAAATCCTAGTTACCCCATATATTTCCAATCCATATGATTCGTGGATAATTTCAATAAATCATTAAATAAAACTCTGATTACCGAGTAAACCAAATCAATCTTCAAAATGAAATTCAGTCAATCCAATCCACTTCATGCCCTTATCACACAGCTTCTAACCTCTCCTGTTCTGTCCTCAGGTGACTGGGAATATTCCTTATAAAGTACAATCCACTGAAGAAATCTTTATCAAGTCAAATTGCAATTTTGTTGATATTCTAATAGTAACTCTTTTGAACAAGTACTGTTTCTCATTTCTTCAAGTCCCAGAATTTTAGGCAAGACTACAACAGTTCAAGGAATGGGTCAAGATGGGTAGGTGACAAAACGAACAAAGACAAAACTGTCTTTGTTATACTAGCATTTTACAAAAACACACTCCCGAGAAGACTTTTGTAGGGGCAGCCAGGATGGCACAAGTGGAAATACATAAAAACCAGACCTAAGAGAGGATTCTCTTTGCAAAGTGACCTCAAGCAATACAAAACATATCTTAATGTTTACCTATGGTAGTTCCCAAAAACTCCAAAAAGTCTCTCAATGTATATAAATATATAAAGAACTAAATACATAATCTATAATCCAGCTAGTCATATCTAGTGAAAACCATAACCGGGGCTCTAAAATCATCCAATTATCGGAGTTTCCCTATTGAACTTATCGAAGTTCAGGCAATGGATTTGCCTGTACATATGTAAATATATACACACACACAACATCCATAGAAGGTTTAGTTTTGGCACCACCACGGAAACGAAGGCCAACCCTGTTCAAAAACATAGATGCAATATAGATACTGCGGAATGATCTTTAACAGTCTAATAAATTGAAGCCACATAATATGCTTCAATAGTATCAACTACATATAAATGGATGACCCATATAGAAAGAGACAAAACCGAGGTGTTCCGAAACAAGGAAAAGGCCAAAGCAAATTGTATGTCTCCAAGCAATTGGCATGCTCTTTGGAAGCATACTGGCTTATATTCTTTTGGGAAATGTTGACATTCCCAAGTAAACGATAATGGTGATTAAAGAATTACTATTAGCACGTGAGCAACAAAATAATAATAACAATAAAAAAAAAAATCCAATGAATATGGATCAGATCCATGACGAGGACGAATAGGACTAGGAGTATAGAGAAGCTCTGAAATATGAGGTTGTCACACGCCAATAACAAGGACACAATTAGATAATTCACATTCATAATTGGTAGGTAAGAACGAAACGAAACACCATTCATGTGTATGGTTGATTAGGATAGACTCGAAAAAATATTTAGAAGACTTACTGTTGCCAATAGGAGGAAGGTCTGAGTGCAAGGCAATGGTTTGTCATCATAAATCCCAAGTGATGCAACTCCAAGAATTACCAATCATGGCACTTGATTAGCCTCGCCTTCCAAAACACTATTGGAAAAGAAAAATATACAAGCATTCAGCCAAAACAAACCATGTTCAACAACGTCTTAGGATTTACTTTCACAAGGATTGTACTACAAAAACACAAAGTTGGTGGCTTTGAAATAAGCCATTTTCCATTTCCAAAAAGATGGTCACGGATTTCTTAATCTGAATTCCCAAAAAGAAAGTCAAGATCAGATGTTATACAAACCATAGATGTACAAGTAATTGTTGTAACCATTCATGAAGATCGTCACATTCACAAGCCATGACCTTGCCTATGTAAGTAGTGACACTGGTAATTGTAAGTCAAATTATATTTTTACTGTAATGAAAACTGCACAATTGCACCGACTAATCATAATATTTAAATTGCTATTTGAGAATGTAAAATCATATATCTTCTTAACTACATAACATGGAAAACTAAGAGAAATACAAACAATCAATCAGTATAAGATAGTCAAGTTTCAACACAGTCGAATCCATTAGCTTTGTAAAAATTCGATCCTACGCCATTTTAATATTTTAAATGGAACCAACACCACGTACCCTGAATCAAAACTGTCACTATTTAGACAATTCAATTGAATTGCTAATGGATCTACAAGGCCCTGTCTGATTCGCAGTGTTGGTTAAAAATAAAGATCGTTGACTTATAAAGATTTCTTCATAGCAATTAAGGCCACATTCCTAGGGGATAATGCAGGATCAAAAATGGGTAACATGACCGCTTCAACTGAATTGCCTTGCTCTTGTAGGAACAATAGTCTATCAAGCAGAATAATAGTTTCCAAAACAGGCCCCAAAGCAGCCCGAAGAGACCAATAAGGCCCTATAAGTTCCTGCATGAAATCAGCATATTTATCAGTACTAGAGTCAATTTATTGAAGTGTTGCTTCCATATTAGAGTAACACAACCCAACTAAAACTTGACAAATCAAATTCCTAACTTTTTTATTTTTTTTAATATATATACTTTTTAATATAAAAGCAAAACTTCTCATTACTAAATCTAGAGATTCAAAACACGTGGATACACAATTTTCCCAAAAACAAAAAAAGCTTATTACAGTTGTTGGCCAACTAACTAAAAATTGCCAGATCTAACTTGGACCTTAACACATTTGATCAGTCTCTAATGGGGATCCCAAAGTTTGGCTAATTTAATTCTAAACATGTTTATTGCAATATCATATTCAATATCATCAATGCTCAGGTTCTTGCTCTGTCCATTATGCAACAACAATACTTCTGCTATCATTGCACTGATAATTTCAATAACCCTACCGTGGACCAACTTTTGGAACTATATTTCCATAGGCTCAGTGCAAATATCTTATACTTGAGAGTCATGGAAATAGCTCTTGTGAACTAGAGAGTTGAAAGACGCATTAGGTTTCTCTCTCTCTCTCTCTCTCTCTCTCTCTCTAGTTAAATATTAAAAGGCATAAGAGCAACTTACAGAAAAAGGTTCACATTCCTTCCATGATCCAGCAAGATCAATATCTGGAGAATTTTGGAGACCAAGGCGGCTAAGTCCAGAATAGCTGAATTTCTCAAAAAGCGAATATTTATCAACAGGTTTAATCTCTTCACAATCCAATTCAGAACTCTGATTAGAAGGAACCCCACAAAACAAAACATCTACATTGAAGGTTGGGTTTGGATAATTAGCACCACATGATTCCAGAGTAGAATTGCAAGTATCTGAGAGGACTATTTCATATGTCCCTGACAAGTGATCCATGAGAAATCAGTCAACATCATTCTGACATTGCAAATATGTTCTAATTCAATAACACAATGGTCTATTTCAAGCAACTATACATCAGAAAATGTGTCTTGGCCCTTCAAAAGTGAACGGCTTATTCTCTGCAACTGGTAGAACTCGTGGAAGATCTACCCTCCCTCTCTCTCTCTCTCACTCACTCACTTTTCTTATTACACCTGATTCTCATAAAAAGAATTTTTTTTACTGATTCAGTAAAACTGCAAACTTGTGTACCTTTATTATTCACAGACCCTGTTCCAGTGGAATTCATGGTAGGCCATCTTTCTTTCTTCGTACAGTTTTCCTGAGATAAGAATAAGGGGGATTTTTTTTTATCCTTGTCTTGAAGATTAGACTCCAGGATCCTCCTATATTGTTGGCGACGCAAAGCCTTCCCTTGGCGTCCTATTGCAGGGCTTGTTACCAAAATTTCTGGATAATATCGAAAAAGAACCTTCAAGAAACTGAATAAATGATTAGGGAACTTAATACAATAAATAGTTGTAAAAGAAAATCACAAAAGTTGGACAATTTTACATATCATAACGCAATAAAAAGAAAACTATATATATAACAACATGTACCATCTGGAATGCAGCACGAAAAGCATGCAGCTCAAAATTATGAAGACCAGCATCTTTTCCCAAACCTTTCCATCTTTCTGCACTCTATTAAAGGAAAGCAGCAAGGTCAATAGACATGTACTATTTTTATGGAAGGAATGATAAATAGGTTCCTCAAAAATAAGCAATTGGCTTCTACCTGCCAAGCATTTGAAAATTAAATAGAACCAGGATTAATTATATTCATAACATAAACACCTCAGAAAATGAAAAACATCTTAATCCTCATCAAGGAAAAAAACTGATTTCAGATTAATTGTTTTCAAAGTCTCTCAAGTTGCTCAATAGAGATTACGCACACCAAAGCTACTAAAATTCTTCTTCAGAAATGCTTAAAAGCCTTCCTCAAGGCAAGCCAATTCTATTATGCCCCAAGGTTCTAAATACTAATCCAGGCCCACGCTTGAAATAGGCCTCATGAGCCAATATGTAGTCAAATTTTGGTCAGCCTTTTGTGCCCCAAACCTAAAATATAATGCATATGCTTCATGTGTCCCTTTTTCTTTCCTACACTTACTTTTTAATTTTAAAAGTGACCAACCACTTTTGGTCCAAAGTTGTATTTCACTATGTTTTAAACATATTCTCCTTAACATTTTTGTTCGATTTTAGTTTCTTTCTTTGTCGAACTGTTTCTGCTTTCGAATTTCAAGTAAGACCTTCAAACAATCTCATAACCAGGGGAAAGAGCCATTTTCTTGCTCAACTATGCTACTAATAGGCAAACTCGTATTCCACTTCCCCACTGAACAATGTCATTGAATCCCCCAAAGTTATCTAAAACTGCTTATGTGTGTACAAACACACATACATATTATATATAGTCACTACTTGCTTGTTTTTCTCTTTTTCTTCTTGTCGTCTAATTTATTTCAACATATTTATTATGCACAAAAAATGTTGAAGGCTAGCCTTGGAAGGAGTGAAACACTCCACCCTATGCTTTTACCTTCGCAACAAGTGCTTGTTCAGAGTGGCCAACTGAATGCTAATAATTCATTTCGCACTAGCCTTCACCAACCAATCACTATTTATCACAAAAGGAGTGTCAATATTTCAGCAGAATATGTAACCAAAATAGCTCATACATCAAACACAATAAGCTATAGATTTTAAAGAAGCTTCCATGCTTGACCATGCAACAACAAATTGCTGTACTTGTACACATTATGTAATAAGTAATAACCCACTAATAACCAACTATAAAGGCAGAGTAACCAAAAGTTATATTTCTCTAGCTCCCTCTCTAAACCTGACTAACTTAAAAGAAAAATGAATGAGCAAAAAAGCAAAGAAAAAGGTCTGGTGGATATCTTCAAGGTCATAATTAACAACTTATGTTAGCTTAATTTTACGATGAAAATCATGTGATTAGATTTTCTCATGGATGATTAAAAAGTTTTAATTGTGAGGGAGACCAGTGATACACTGCATTACTTTTTACTCATTTTCATAATCACATGTTAAGTGTATCACAGTAATTTCAAAGGAAAGAAAGAATAACCTTTTTTAAACATCTGGAAATATTTATCTTCTGTAGAAATAAAAAGAAAGCTCTTTTTTTTTTCTTTTTTTTTTTTCACAATCTCATTTTTTAATACTCGTAAGTTTTTTCACAATTTCATTTTTTAATACTTGTAAGAGCCCAAACCAAAACAAAAGAACTGCTTTGAGACAAACCCAACCATGTATCACTCCCATAACCCCAACCAAGATTATGGATTTAACATACAGATTGTGCTTAACCACACAGATGTTATCATGGCCAAACAACTGCCCATCTGCGTACAAGAAGGCCAAACATGGCTGATGCAGCACTAACCATTGCCAATCATTGGCACAGCATCACCATTATTAACGCATCTTTAGGTTCAATAATCAAACTCCATAATCTTGTTAAAATCTCATGCGTCTCCTATTCTAAAAATGATAAATAATATGCCAAAACATACTGCCACAGTTCTATTATATTAACAAATAGATCTTTGTGTTATACAAATTATTTATGCATAAACAAACATTCCAAATTTCCAAATTAATGTACGGAAAAAATAATTAGAAATCACCAAATGCTGTAGCTAGTGGTATCTAGGGCTGCAAACGAGCCGAGCTTTCGATGAACAGCTCGAGCTCAGTTTACTAAGGGCTCGGTTCGCGTCCGTTTGTTTAATAAATGAACCCAACACAAACAAAATTTATGTGTTCGATTAATAAATGAACCAATCTTAAACACTCCCCTACTCGGCTTGATAATTCGTGAACAAGCTCGTTAATCGGCTTGATTTAAGCTCGTCGATATGTACGTGCATGTATATATACACATATTATATACAACTCCATTATGCTAGGCCCATAGTTTTATTCTAAACTTACAAATAAATCTATCCAAATCCAACCCAATCCATAAAACCTAATATCATATTACCAGCCATCTTAAAAATGGAATAGATTAAGCCCAAGAAAAATAAAGTAGGTCAAGCCCAAGCCCATTTTCTGAAGCCTGCATATATAAACCCTTTTAACCCTGAACCCTAGTCACACACAATCTTCATCCCTCACTTAAGTCTCACGCCACTCCCCTTTTGCAAAATCAGGCCACACTCTCTCTTTCTCTCTTTTGGCATGGAATGTCGTCTACAATGGCAGATCCAGGCAAACTATATTGGAATGATCGGCAAAACTATAATGGAAAGATTGGCAAACTATAATGGAATGGCGGTGATTGTTTTAGTTATGAAGTATTTTTAATGTATTCGTGCTATATTTGTAGATTTTGCATTTATATATATATAGATGTGTGTGTAATATACATGTATTGATATATATATATAGATGTCTGTGTGAAATAGACGTGTATTTCTGTATATATATATAGAGAGAGAGATTTGTGTGTCAAATATTTGTATTCTTAAACGAGTATCGTGCCGAGCCTGAATAGTTTGTGAACTTGGCCGAGCCGAGTTCGAATGCTCAGATGTGAGCTCGACTCAAGCTCGAGCCAAGCTCAAACATGCTGCTATATAGTTGAGCCGAGCCCAAACATGCCCCCACTCGGCTCGGCTCGTTTGCAACCCTAATGGTATCTCCTCTACCTGCCAATGTGGGAGGTGAGGGTTTGAGTCCCATGCCATGGGGACGAATGGATGTGTGAGTTTCTTTCCAAATTAAAAATTATATATATATAGAAATACAAATATCATATGCATATACCTGACAAGCAAGATCACGCGAATTTCTTCCAAGTGATAGACCAGAAGATTTGACACCTTTACTCATTGGAAAACCACAATGAGAATCACAATGTTCAACTCCTTCCTCAGATAGCATGTTATAACAACAACCGATGCTAACCACTGCTTGAACTTCTTTGCACTCCAAAAATGTCCTTAGAAAGAAAAAAAGAAATCCCTCAAGTTGGGTAGTCAAAGAAATTAAAAATGGTAAGATGAAATATTCAAACACAAGCACACTCATAGACCAAGAGGAATATCATGACACTTACTATTGCGACACGAATACTAGGCTTGAGCATGACAACTGAATAAAAAACTATATAATATGCCCGCAATACGATAAAAACTCGAAATTCAATAGTCATTTTTTCTTTTGACTCAAAACATTTATCATTATTGACAACTTGATGTATCAACTAATATTTATATTGAATGAATAAATTTTTAAATCACATGATTAGTACAACTTGAGTTAACATTAATCAAAATCCTTTAAATTTAGTATTATATCAAAGAGTGTCTCTCTGTCCCCTCTCCCACACAGATATATATATATATGTGTGTGTGTGTGAGAGAGAGAGAGAGTCCCCTTGTAGCTGATTCTACACTATATCAATAATTTCTCCTTGATAAGTATCACTTTCTTATTAAATACAAACTTGCATAAACCCTTCCTTACACAAACTAGGCATTCATAACCAGTAACACCTATAAGTTTTTTTTTTTCCCTTCTCGAAAGTTCAACCAAATTGACACACACCCACAGCATTGCCCCAGCAGGGCTCGAACACTCAGCCTCCCCCTTGAGGAGGAGAGCACGTACCATCTGGGCTAATGCCAATTGATAACATCTATAAGTTAATTGTTCAAGACAGGGTAATTCAGACATTGTAATTGAAATATATGTTTGATAAATAGATCAAATTATAAAGCAGAAAGCTTATTTTACCTTAAACACAAAGTAAGAAAGTGTGTTTACGTATAGACGACGTAAGATAACTCCCAGTTTATGTAAAAACGCAAGACAACTCCACAAGCATTGACAGACTGCTGCAATTTAACTGCACAAATACTTCTTCACCGAGGTCCATGCCTTTATGTACATCAAAGTTCCACACATCTTCTCTCATAGAGTTTACATGTTTTTTTCCTGGCCTTTCGTTTTGCCGTAGTACTACCGTCAACTTGAACTAAAACTCCTATATCAGTGCAGTTCCTTTTCCTCTCATAATTGTCTTCTCGCCTCTAGTTCATCTTAAGATCCTAAGTTTAGCCATACATTTATTTTTTGACCACTCCAATAGACCATTGAATTTTTGTCACTCTTAAAGCCCTGTCTTTTCAATTTTTTCTTTAATTTTTATAATAACATTTAAATGAATTGTAGCTCCAAAATCATTCTTCATTTAAATTGATCTACTTAAATATTGGCCACATTTCAAACTCCCACTTTTGTGGATGATAAGCCCAAAATAACCAAAATGGTCATAATATGTATTATGTACGTGGCCATCAATCTTCTCTGACTTTTCAATTCTATTTCTAATTTCATTTAAGGTACATTCTAAATATTTAGTCCTACTTCATTCTTTGCATGACTACAACTTAAACCCTCACACAAGTTCATTCACAGCAACTAAACATATCACTTCCAATAAAGGGAAAAATAAAATAGACTAAAGCCCATGTCTAATACTTCCACGAAAGGTCATCTATCAGCAATAGTCTATATATTGCATGGACTTCTACATGTGTTAGGTTGAGGAATGTGTCTAAGCGTTGGATTTATCAAATTCCTAAACCTATGTATACGGGAACACAGCTAAATATTTATATTCTCATTATTATATTTTTAGTTAAATATAGTCTTCTCGTAATAGGGGGTGCTTAAAATAGGCACTTCTGAATTATAAGATATGCTCATTAGATGCAAGCCCGACCAGACATGTAGACACGTTGTCATGCTCATCTACAAATGTCGTTTGTCCGAAACAAGTACTTTACTCATTTTAAAGAATCCAAGTAACATAGGTAATAATGCAACTATTGGGGATTCAATGCATACCCATCATTGAAGTCATTTGTCCCTTTAGTATTCACTAGTCTCTTTTTTTTTTTATTTCCTAGTTGGGAAACTCACACTGCCTCCACTGAGGTTCGAACCCCTAACCTCCCTTTGGAAAGTAGGAGCCTTGTACCGCTTCAATCGCATCGATCGTTTCTTCAATGACAATTTTTCTAGTTGATGCCCCATACAATTTTAAGATACATTTTATCTCCCTATAAGTGCTACAGTCAGTTATAAGTTACTACACAAAGGTTTCTCTCATTTCAAACCATTATGTTCATAAAAAAAAGAGCTCACACTACTCTTACTCCCATAAAGCTAAAGTGAATTTCCAATATTCTTGTTTCAAAATCCTAGCCGTCATTAGTAAGGCTTGAAATGGAGAGGATTTGGCCCAATATCCAATTAAAGTCCATTTTAAGGGGGTTTGAATTTAAATTTTGAACCTGAATTCAAAACAGGTTGCGTGTGGATCTTCATTGGAAGATCAATCACTGATTCGAACCGAATATGGATCTGGGTGTTCCTTAAATGGATCAAATTTTACCAGGAAACCGACCCAGGCAGATATATTTTGCTCTATTACAATCGTTTTAAATTATATTAAGTCAAATATGGATTATATCCTGTAATACCCCGATATTTTAAATGATTTATTAATTAGGATTAATTACTTTTATTTTATTTTAAATGATTTTTTTGAGTTGGAATTAATTATTTTTATTTTTAAATGATTTGTTTTATTTAATTGAGTGTTATGATTAATTTTCTTATTTTTATTAAATTATGTTTTGTGACTATATTTGATGAATTGGCGTGTTGGTTTGCTTTATGAGAATGTCATGATTGTGTTGTTTTTAAGTTGCTTATTTGACTATGTGTAATTTTTATGCTAGTGTGAATTAATTGTAATTATTAGATTTTTTTTTTTTTTTGATAAGTAATAATTGAAATAAAAAAGGCATTCAAGAGGGGAACGCATCCCTTATACAAAAGTGGAATTAGAGATTAAGATCCTAAAGAAGCCAAAAAAATAATTAAATCTTCGGAAGAAGAACAGGATTTCCTCTTCACATAACTGAAAAGAGAGCGTATGATGTGAAGTTTCAGACTCGCCGTGGACGATTCTTTCCCTTCGAACATTCTACTATTCCTCTCCTTCCAAATGCACCACCAAACACAATGTGGTACAACTCTCTAATAATCACGAACAGCGCTACTCACACGGCATCCTCTTCATATACAATTGTAATAATCCAATTGTAATTATTAGATTTAATTGGATTATTTTATTTATTTAAGTTAATGGGTTTGGGTTTAAGAGGAGTGGAACCAATGGATATGGTCTTGGGCTTAAATGAAGCCTTGTTGGGTTAATTAATAAAGGCCCATGGTTAAGTGATTATTATTATTTTTTTGATAAGTATGATTAAGTGATTATTTTAATAATCATTTTATTGTATAATTATAAGTATATATTTAATAAGTGTTATGGAAGGACATATATATATATATATATATATATATATAATATATGTTTAGAGATATATATTATTTAAAGTTTATTATTTTATTTGAGAATCTTAGTTGGAATAGGATTTGGATTTTTAATGTGTATAAATATACACATAAGGCTTTAGGATTAAAAGTTTACACGTTAGAAAATAAGAGAGACATAGAGGAAGAGGAAGGGCTGACAAGGAGGAGGCTGGATCTGAGAATAAGGATGCCGGAGTTAGAAGAGACAATCAAAGATTGAAGCGTCGGTTTCATTTCGAAATCTTTAGGCAAGTTCTTTTCTAACTTTTCTCTTAGGACCCATAAGTTTATCACCTTGAATATTAGAATTTTAGACTAAATTTATTAATTAAATCATGGTTAGATCGGAATAATTAAATAGATAAATTATTATATTTGATTTGTGAATTTATCGGATTTTTTTTTTTAATAAGTAAAAATAACATTAAAAAAAGGCGTTCAAGGGGGGAACGCGTCCCAATTACAAAAGTGGAACCGGGACTAAGGCCCCAAAGAATTCAAAAAAGTAATTAAATCATATGAAGAAGAACAAAAGCTCCTCTTCACATAATTGAAGAGAGAACGAAGAATGTAAAGTTTGACCGTTTCTATAGGCGACTCTTTTCCTTCGAACATTCTGCTATTTCTCTCCTTCCAAATGCACCACCATACACAATGTGGTATAATTAATTGTGTATATAGGTGTTGTATATATTTAAAAGCAAGTTATAGGTTTGATGTATGACCCAAGAGGGTTAATTATGATTTCTGGAATTTTTCTAGAATTTCTGAAATTTTTTTGTATTTTTCTGGGTTTGTTTTATATTTTTCTGATATTTTTAGAATTTTATATACAATTATTTATGTGTATAAATATAATATATATACTGTATATATGAACGCCACTGTAGGGTTTAGTAATCGGCGCACTTAAAATAGGGTAGAATTCGGTGTGGCGCGGCACACATCATTGTGGTGCGCGCGCATTACAGAGGGTTGGATGGGTTTGATGATTAAAGGGGTAATCCAGTGCGACGCGGCACATTGTATTATGGTGCACACACGAATTTAGCGGCTGAGATGCGATGATGAAGGACGGATAATCTAGTGCTTCGCGGAGCATGGAGATTTGATGTGCGCATGCATCTAGGCCGTGGATGAGGTCTGGTCAACAGGATATTTATCTGGTGTGGGCGAGTGCACCAAAACGTAGAGGGCAACCAATCAGTAGCAGCCACACACGCGCCGAGAGTGGATCAGGCGCATGAGGGCGCGTGGCAGCGTGTGGACGCGCCTGCCAGTGAGTAGAAGCGCGTGGACACGGGTGCAACAACTGAAGGAGCATGTGGCGGCGCGTGGAGGCGCGTGCATAGGTGTTTGAGGTCCCAGAAATTTCTATGGGGTCCGGTGACGTTCCATAATTTATTTCAAGCTTGTTAGGGGAGAAATCAACCATTGGAGGAGGTGTTTTTGGTGTTCTAAGAGCCATAGAGTATTACTAAGATATTTTAGTAGCCGTTAATCTGTGTAAATATAATAAATTAATGATTTATTACGGAAGGAAGT